CTCTATCTAACCTCACACACACCCTGAGACGAAGTGCTAGCAACGGCACTGAGTATACATCTTTTGAAAACAGGCGAGGGGTTATTGCATGCATGTATTTCTAGTACTTTATTGATTACAACACAAAGAGCAATTTTAGTCTAGGACCTGTACATGAGTTTGTATGCGATTCATTTAGGACAGGTAATCTCAACTGTTTTAGGGTAAAATGACCATGGCGGTCAACATGGCATATGTGCGAAAACCTGAATCCGGGACGAAAGTCCTGAAAATGACCCCGCCCTGAAACGGCAGTGTCGACATAGCTCTAACTTCCGAAAAGGAAAAGCGATAGCCTTTCTGAAGTGCTTATAGTGTTTAGAAGGGTTGCTTTTAGGGGTGGTCATTGGAAGGAAAAATTTGTCTAAGTATAATATTTTACCAGAAAATGACTATGCACCACCCCAGGTAAATTGCTGATTATGCACAAAATAACTAATATGCCTGGCAGAAATGAAATATTCTTATTTCCCAAAAAAAATATTATGGGGTGAAAAACTATGCTTAATTTAATATAAATATTGTTGATTTCATAAGGATTGTCATTGTTTTCTTTAAATATAATACATTTTATTTCACTTACCCCCCACGAAAACACGATTTCAGCCATATTTTGCCGTCTTGTTTGCTTTTTATCGCCGAATCTCGCAAATATCACCCAGTTATTGTACTTTTACATAATCATAAATGGCTGAAGAAGATTTCAAAGAAGGTTTCATCCACTTTTGTAACAGTGCAGTGTATTTTACCTTCGATATTGTGTCCTTCGATATTCCGCCAAATTGCCGCCATTTTAATGGCTCGCCGCTTCTCTGTCTGATAAATGCAACTAGTCTTCGTTTCCATATGTATTTAGATTACAGTATCCAGGAGTACTTCATTGTAGAATAGTCCCAATCCAAAAATTGGCAATATTTGTCCCATTAGGAAGGAAAAATCCTCCCGTATACCATTTAGGTTCAAAATAAAAAACAAATCATTTGAAAGTCACGCGCAATCTTCGCGAAAACTTCTCGTGGACACATGACAGGGGTGGTGAATATTTTCACGAATATGTTCGCCACCACAGAAACATAACTAAATATATTGTATTTATTGTATTTTTATGATTTATGACAAAACTACGCAACTATTTATTGTTTTTATTGTAAATCATAAAAATACAATAAATACAATATATTTAGTTATGTTTCTGTGGTGGCGAACATATTCGTGAAAATATTCACCCCCTCCCTGTCATGTGTCCACGAGAAGTTTTCGCGAAGATTGTGCGTGACTTTCAAATGATTTGTTTCTCATTTTGAACCTAAATAGTATACGGGAGGATTTTTCCTTCCTAATGGGACAAATGTTGCCAATCTTTGGATTGGGACTATTCTACAATGAAATACTCTTGGATAATGTAATCTAAATACATATGGAAACGAAGAAGTGGCATTTATCGGACAGAGAAGCGGCGAGCCATTAAAATGGCGGCAATCTGACGAAATATCGAAGGACACAATATCGAAGGTAAAATACACTGCACTGTTTCAAAAGTGGATGAAACCTTCTTTGAAATCTTCTTCAGCCATTTATGATTATGTAAAAGTACAATAACTGGATGATATTTGCGTGATTCGGCGATAAAAAGCAAACAAGACGGCAAAATATGGCTGAAATCGCGTTTTCGTGGGGGGTAAGTGAAATAAAATGTATTATATTTAAAGAAAACAATGACAATCCTTATGAAATCAACAATATTTATATTAAATTAAGCATAGTTTTTCACCCATAATAATTTTTTTTAGGAAATAAGAATATTTAATTTCTGCCAGGCATATTAGTTATTTTGTGCATAATCAGCAATTTACCTGAGGTGGTGCATAGTCATTTTCTGGCAAAATATTATACTCAGACAAATTTTTCCTTCCAATGACCACCCCTAAAAGCAACCCTTCTAAACACTATAAGCACTTCAGAAAGGCTATCGCTTTTCCTTTTTGGAAGTTAGAGCTATGTCGACACTGCCGTTTCAGGGCGGGTCATTTTCAGGACTTTCGTCCCGGATTCAGGTTTTCGCACATATGCCATGTTGACCGCCATGGTCATTTTACCCTAAAACAGTTGAGATTACCTGTCCTAAATGAATCGCATACAAACTCATATACAGGTCCTAGACTACAGGGGCATCTTGCAGTACACGGGTCATCAAGCATTTGTCCAAAACGTATAAAACCATTGAAGAAGCAGAAGAAGCACTTCAGATCGATTATGTTGTTGACATGCAGGACTCTACCAATTAAGCATTTGCCTGTTCCACACCGGCAAGCCGAGATACCAGTACTTGTGCTAATGGTGGAGGGGGATTCTTGTCTCCAATGTTCAGTCATTCGCCAAATAAGAACTTGTCGACATCAACAACTGGAGATATGGTTAAAGATTTCATTTCCCAAACTGTGATGATGTCAAAAAGAATGAAATGGCAAGTACTTTGCTTTCTGTACAAACAGTTGGTAATTGATGAAGGTGGGCCAGAGCTGGCATCATTTGTTAGGCCAAATTTTCTAAATGTGAGTCTCAGGGCAATGCAAACCCTTCTAGCTAATGAGAAACACAATCTTGTTTATGACCTATCCATATGTTTTGAAAGGAGAAATAATGATGCCCTTGAGACAAGGATGCCAATTGAGAGAATGCCATTTGGATTGGTAGATTATAATATCCGGTATTTGGCAATATGATGTAGAGGATCATTGTGCTCAAGACATTTCGAGGTCATCACAAGAACAAATTACTGGAAATCTGTTGGCAAACCCAGAAAATGTAAACCAAACATTGGAACAGTCTACCAACTCTATAATTGCTGATGCTTTGGCAGACCTTCACATTGATTTAGATGAATTTCAACCACCACAGCAATCTACTGCGAGCCAAAGTCATGCAGATGAATCTCAATCAATGTGTGATTCTATTAGTCGAAAAACTGTGACTAATTTGTGGACTTCTCTTTCCCGGGAAGGAAGCCTTGAGGTTGTGGAAGGCAACATATCACCAGAGGTTATGGAACAGCACCATAGAATACAACCAACCAAGACAAGAAGGATACCTGCTAATCCTGCCATGTATGATCCAATGAAGGTAAAATTACTTCAAAATTTAATTTGAAGGGATATACAGTATGGCAATCTAAATATGTTTTTCTAATAAGACAAACTAAATAATAAAACCATTATACACCCTATGTACATGCTTGCCCATTAATGGGCAAGGGTGTACATATCATTTCATTCTTGAGTCTTTAATATTGGACTATCTTAATCATGCAGGTGTTCTGCCCTGATGTTCCTTTATGAGCCCTGATGTAGTACATAGTCTCATTAGTTTTGGTTTTGTTGAAATATGTATTTGTGGGGTGTAAGAACAGGGAAAATTTAGCCTGAAATATAAGACAACGCCTCAAAAACCCCTCAAAAAGAAACACCTCAAAAAGTTCAATGGTGTTTTCTTGAACGATTATGTTTGAAGTATAAAGATTATGCAAGCATTTGTACTTCTAAAAACCTTATATTTTGCTGCTATTTCTTTACAACTGTATGGAGCCACCTTCCACCATTATTGGGTTTATGTAGTAACTGACTGTTTGTTTTGTGTAGGTCCTGTACTACATAAAAATCTTGTATATGACAGGGTCTGAAATTTATATTTTTTCTCAGTATCCAACTGGGATACCCAGATTCAAAGTTTAGTACCCTGAGAATCCCACTTCTGGTAGTTCTGGATACTCACAGGATTTTTTAGCCTGGGATACTGGTTACTGGTACCATAAGTATTATACCCTGTCCCATCCAAGTAAGTTTCCATAGCCTCAACAGTCAACAACTAAACAATTCATTACTGTAATACCCTAAAATCCACATAATCCTTCAACAAATTTCTATATGCTGGTGAGCTAGTCCTCGATGAGGAAACACTGGTGGTAAACTGATAGTATTCAAAAGTTATCAGGAGCCCATCAAATTTTCTTATTATTAATATTTTAAGTGTTCATAGTATCCAGTCTGGATACCAGTCATTTACAGTATCCAAAACTAAATTTTTGGTATCCCGTGGATATCAGAATACTGTAAATTTCAGATCCTGTCTGAAATTTATCATTAGGTGCTGTAAATCTCCAGTCCATCATATTCATGTGTCACATTTGGTGTATACCAGTGTATTATGTTTAGAAACTTATATACTCACTTGTTCCTTCCTGAGTGTAACAATATCTGATTCCTTCGCTTCACTAATTGTACGGTACTTTAATTGAATAATTCGTTGTATGTATTTTCTTTAGAGTAAAGTTAATATCGCAAGCATTGGGGTACGACAGATTCAGAAACGCATCAGGGCATCTGGATTTTCAAGAACTGTTGATGTTCAGGTACAGCACTCAATTATTAGTTTAGCCCTTTAAGTGGTAGTACACGCATGTGCGACCCACTTTATTATTTTAGTCTGTCTAATGCCAACACCGCGGAAAAACGTCTGCACATGTGTCAACCTTACCTGTAATCCAGGTGATCTCGTGTTCGTATTTTAGCCAATCAGCGTTCAGAAAGGGTTGTCCGAATAGAAATCCATTTTGATGTATTCAGTCAATTATATCTTTCGTTATTGTTTGTGAAACTAGTTGAAATTTTGCAATTATTTTTGGTTATGAGAACTATAGCTCTGACAAAAATATGGAATGGAAATAAAGTATATTACAGGAGATATTCAGTTGTTTTAATCATAAAATGGATTTGTATTTGACAACTAGTGCCAGTACTTTTCCGCATATCAAGATCATCTGGATAGTATTGTCAAAGATTAAGTATATAAAGATGGCCGACTCGCGGAAAATTCCTTTGTTCTCGGTCTCCCCCGTTTCGAAAGCCCACGCGGTTTCCACGCGGTTTCCACGCGGTTTCCACGCGTTTCGTCTGGTAAGCGGCGAACAAAATTTTTGTATTGAATTGTATGGCGAAATGCCGAATTTTCGCAATAAAACAGCGATTTTAAAAACATCTACTGTCCGATCTTTATTTTGAGGACAAAATTTGAAAGAACATGTCAAGCTGCGTTTGTTAAACGGAAAATTATTACACGAATATGTTTAAAACGAACGAAAATTTGGATAAACGACCTCCAAAGGAGTGAGATCTTATACTGTCAACAAGTCAGGTGAGATTCTTTTCATTTCTTGATCATTTTTCGATAGTGTTTTGTGAAATTTCGTACCTTAGACAACAGATGCATATAGGACTATTGCTAACTGACACTAAAAATATGTTTGGGATGCGTACAACCAGAAGAGTTTTTATTTACTGTACAGATTACAAACAATATACTATATAAAATACAAACAATATTCAAATATATAGAAATATTATTTTGTTAGGCCAGTACCAAAATGTAGTAAAAGCAAAGATAGTAAAAGCATTTAGACCTGAAATATATCTTTGAGACCAAACACTATACTGTTAACTGAAATTTTGGGGATTTGAATTTATTGAATTGAGTCGGGTGCCAATATAAACACATTCCTATGCTTAAATAAATAACAATATCAGTTGTCCAGGTAGTGTACTTAACCAATGACTAATTGCATTTATAGTCAGTAAGCATTATTTTGTATATAGACATTTGTTTGACCATTGATGGTCCCTCCTTATAATAAATACAACCACACACTGGTTGTCTCTGTGTGTGCAGCCGTCTTTCATCCAATTGTATTTCTGTAAAATACACCCAATAAATAATCAAATTATTCTCTTTTTAGTTGAATGATAGACTTTCCATGTTAAAAGAACTACAAATCTGCTCTTTGACTATCTGGGTAAAAGGCAATGACAATGGATTGTTGATCAACAATGTTTTGTGGAATGCTTAGCTATCCAATTTGAAAAATACTGTCAAATATTCTATACATTTTGATGTTCTGAGTTTGATTATTTTATTGTATATTCCACATTGACTTAACCCTTATTAGGGTATACAAAACTTATAGTATTGTTAAATGTAAACATACATGTGCACCTCTTCAAACATAATGTGAGTTGTGTTAGATACTGCTTTCTCTGATTGCACTCAAGCTGCCAAGAAATAGCAATTATTTTTGTTACCGAAGAAAATGGTATCAAAGCATATCCCTCATTATATTAAAATGCTACTGGATAACTGATCCCATAACAGTAATTAAATATTATTGTAATTATTAAACATTTTGTTTGTATATGTGAGTTAATCGCTTGTTCGGACTATTGCACATGGTGAGTTATTGCTTATTTGGACTATTGCACTCAGTAAAATTAGCTTTGAAACAGTGCCTAATACACTTGTCATCGGAAACATGCACCCCTCCACCCCAGGGGAAACATGGGCATAAATAGACTTTTTTAGAAACTAATGAAAGAAAAAGCCCCACACATAGGGGCATTTAGTAAAAGTTTCAAACATGGAATATTTAAAGTAGAATGATGAATAACTTTAAACATAGAACACTAACATGGCTTCGTGTGCAAAAAACATCAGTCGTCCATACGACAATAGGCTACCCATAGGAGTATGGGTAGCCCACATGTAATCATGCCTAATCTTGTCCTCAAACTACACCTCCCACCCACCCATGTTTCCCCGGGGTGGGTGTGTGGGTGGTGGTGGTGGTGGGTCCGATGACAAGTGCATAATACATATAGCAGATTTATGACAGACAAGGTGCTTGCTACAAAGACAATTTCTTGAGTTTCAAGAGTCCAAATAAGTAATAACACAACATGCACATTCAAAGTTAAAGGTTTTGAAAGGAAATTAAATTACTGGCATGTATTTCATCATATTTTGTGTCTTTTGTGAATATTCGTTTAATGGTTTGGTTTAAAAACATAGTAAAATTTGTGTACAGTAGTGAATGATCAATACTAAAATACACAAATTTAGTTTTTCAAAGGCAAAAACGTAATTCATTCCAATTTATCTCGTTTTATACATATATTCCTAATATTTTTGATAATTTCAATGTATATATTAGTTTTTAAAACATTTTACATTATAATGATTTTGACCTTGATTTTCACAATTGTCAAATATAAACTTTTTTTGCACAATTTTTTTTCTTATCAAAAGTATAAATTATCCAAATTAAAAAATATCCAAGACATCCAAGCAACGCATACAAATAGCACTTGACATTATAATAACCTAAAATCATCAAGACATTAGAAATACTTTAAAATTACTGCACGATTCAGTTTCAGACTGTGGAGTAAAATAGAACTATCAAACTCTGCAGTAAATTGTCTTTGGATATCTATAAAAACTCTAGTCATACGCATCCCAAACATGTTTTTAGTGTCAGTTAGCAATAGTCCAAAATGCATCTGTTGTCTAAGGTACGAAATTTCACAAAACACTATCGAAAAACGATCAAGAAATGAAAAGAATCTCACCTGACTTGTTGACAGTATAAGATCTCACTCCTTCGGAGGTCATTTATCCAAATTTTCGTTCATTTTAAACATATTTGTGTAATAATCTACTGTTCAACAGACGCAGCTTGACATATTCTTTCAAATTTTGCCCTCAAAATAAAGATCCGACGGCAGATGTTTTTAAAATCGCTGTTTTATTGCGAAAATTCGACATTTCTCCATTAACTTCAATACAAAAATTTAGTTTGGCGCTTACCAGACTCTCACGCATGCGCAGTGAAAAAGTGGGGACAGGATTTTCCGCGAGTCGGCCATGTTTATATACTTATGCTGGGATTACACTATACCGGATTGATTTTCATACCGGATCAATTTCCACACCGATGCCAAAATCAAGGGTGTTTACACTATTGCCGTTGCGACTTGTTGCCACCCATATTCACTCGTAAAGCTCCGTAAAGCTTTGCCGTTGTCTTGGAAACAATAGCAATTTCCCGCCATAATTGGGGAAAGAACAACGTTTTACATGAAAGATGTCTGCCATCACCGTGTCAAAGAAAAAAGCAGAGTCCTTTTTATGGACTGACGCCGAAATTGAACTGCTGCTTGCATCAGTTAAAGTATTAGCTTCTAACTGTCTTTTCAACGGCACGGACTGGGAAGGCGTGAAGTCGAAATACGAAAAGATTAGAGAAATTTTTGTTGAACGCTACCCAAAAACTAATGATAGCGAAATCAAAGAGAAACCAAATTCAGACTATCCCAAGTCTAAATCCCTTGAGAATATAACAAAAGAACGAATTGCGGCAAAGCTGAAGACAATTCGGGGTAATTTTAAGAAAGCAATCGACAGCGGGAAACGGAGCGGGGGCAGTAGAGTTGTGATGACATATTATGATTTATGCCACGACATATGGGCAGGGGCCCCTTCGACAAAAAGTATCGAAGGTACGTACAGTTAATTAAATTTACGACATTTTTTCTGCTTTTTATCACAGACTATTCAATGTTCCTTTTTATCGCAGACTATTCGATAATATTTATGATTAATTCTATAATAAATAAGGTACATTGTATAAATTAATAATAATTTGGGCTTTAATTAATAAGAGTATTAAATATGTGTATACAAAGAGGGGTTTATAAATAGTTTAATATAAGTTGGCCAGGTGACAACCTGTTCACAGTGCTATGGAAAGCAAGAGTTTTATAAATTGTAATTTTAATATACAACCTTGCTTTATAATTCAATAGTACTGTGAACAAGCAGTCACCCAGCCAAACCTTTACGAATATGTGTATTATTGTATAAGGTATAGTTACAGATCAACCAAATATTTGGCAATGCACCCAATTCAGTATTTACTCTGTCTATTAAACACCATACAATTCTACATGTCAATGGTAGAGGACTCACAGACTGTCTTTAAATGGGTTAAACATTTATGTTAATTAATTCAGGTGGAATTGATTCAAGTTCAGCCCAAGAAAAGAACGACAAATCCAGTGAAAAAGACAAGTCAGAGTTACCTTTGTACAACAACAGTGATGAGATGGAAGCGCTGTTTGGCATATCAGCGGAAGAAGAGGACACACATGGAACACCCAAATCCCAAAATCCAACTAACAGAAGGGAAAAGGTTGCTAAATATCTTAGTAATGAGAAAGAGAAAAGGATGAGCTCAAAGATCTCGGTTGACAAACAGCATCTTCATCTTGCCAGGGAAGATCTAGCCCTAAAGAGGAAAATGATGGAGAAGTCTGACAATGTGGACCAGCAATTTATAAGTAACACAAGTAAAATGACAAAGACGATGGAAAATGTGGGAAATGCAATCACCTGTTGCTTCGACTTAATGAAGAAAATGTATGAAACCCCACAGGCAAATGTGCCACCAGCTGTACATGGTAATTTTTCCCACCCTTCAATGCCTGTTTATCCAGACAGGCATGGTTTTCATCAATACTTTCCATCCAATTGCTTTAACACATCGAACAATATTAAGCCATCAGCTAGTAGTTCAGATAAGGATGATTAGTAAAACAATGGACAACTATAATTTATTATAGAATTATAACAAAACAGTTAGTTATGTTGATATAGTACATTAGCTTTGACTATAATGTTGAGTTTATACTGTACATTTCTGTTGAACAGTAAATTTTCCATTTCTGAAAATATTTCTGGGCTATATCAATGTAGTTCATTATTCTAGTTTAACTGATTGTCAATATTATGTCACAGAGGAAAGATGTAACTGTTACTGAACATTTTACAGGGTCACAGTTTTCTGACCCTTCTAGCTACATACATGACATTGTCTCAGACTCACTCTCTTCTGCGCTTAACATTGTCAATTTTCAAACATTCATTTTACATGTATGTTTTTTAAGCACTATATGACAATTATAAATGTTTTATTCAAAGTACTTCATGAAAACATTCCTAATTGCTTTTCCACCCCTTTCATTGTTATGGACAACTGCATTACCCACATGACTTGGAGGTTGAAACTCTTGGTCATACCTCTGAACTGCCCTAATAAGTTCATCGCCAACTGTTTCATTGTGTATCTCACAAAAATTATTTAAAATGAAACAAGCATGGATTGTTGTGATGATGTTGTCTAAGCTTAGATCCATGGGCCGTCGCAGAATACCAAACCGTGCTTTCAGCCTACCAAAAGCACACTCAACAACCATTCTTGAGGATGATAGGCGGTACCCAAAGAATTGTTGTTGAGGGGTGCTACCACCTTTAGCGAACTCTTTCATTAAATATGGCAGTAGTGGGTAGGCAGGATCACCAAGAATGCATATTGGTACATCTTGTTCACCATCAACGATAGACTTCTTACATGGTGGTATAACCCCATCCCTTAACTTAGTATTTATTGCTGAGTTACCAAACATACGTGCATCATGCACACTACCAGGCCATTTTATTACTACATCAAAAAAACAGTATCTATAATTCACACAAGCCTGAACGTTAATGCTATGGTATCCTTTTCTGTTTACATATGATGTTGGGTCTTCTTTCGGTTTTCTTATTGGAATATGTGTCCCGTCGACTGCACCTATACACTGGGGGAAAAAAGTTTGCTGCAGATGTATTGATGCAGATGTATTGACTTCTTCTGTTGAAGGCGCTTTCACATATGTACCCGCTTTGTTTATTGATATAGCCCGAGTTACTCGTTTGACGATTATTGAGACTGTACACTGTGCTATACCAAACGCATTTGCAGTTTTCCTCATTCTTCCACCATCCGACAAATAATACAAAGTTACTGCAATCTGTTTCTCAACCGAAATTGGGGTCCTTAGGTGTGTTATTTTCCCTGCAATATACGGACCAACCTCGCGACAAAGAACATCAAACGTTTGTTTAGACATTCGAAAATTTTCTTTCCATTCTTCGGGAAGAGTAATTTCGTTTTGCAAGCACAACCACCAGGCAGTGCTTCGGCCTGGTCTGACCCAAAATCGACGGACTTTTCTTTGTTTTTTAACACGGTTTTGAACCCGATAATTTGACGTTATTATCATTTTACGAAGTCGCCTTCGTGAAGAATAAAACTCAGTTGTGATGCCAAACAAACAAGACATTATTTGCAGCACGCTTGCCGCTATAATAGTGAGCATAAGTACGTTTTTTAAGCCTAAGGGATTCATTTTGCAATTCAACTTGTAAACATAACTCAAAATTTCGCGCCAAAACTTATGTCGCAACAGACTTCCTGTTATTACACTTGGTTTTATCCGGTACAGCACGTACCAGATTACTTTTCATATCACCTCCAAAGCGAAGTGATTCTCGTGCCGCGGCACGTACCGGATTATAGTGGCGTAGTGTAAACAAGAGCCCAATCCGGTACAGAAATCGCGTCGCTTCGATGCAATCCTGTATAGTGTAATCAGGGCCTTAATCTTTGGTATTGTGAACTTGATGAGAAGATGTTCCGAACGTTTCTGAAGGCTCAAAATGGCGGTAAAAAGGAGTGACTTCATTGTGTGTCTTTACAGCCAGATTTCGAGCGCAAAAATAAACATGTCATTCTAAAAACTAGTAATAAATACAGCCAGAAGGTTCAAGAAATTGTATTGTACAAGAACATGAACTAAAGGTGATTGTTAACAAATTTATCGTCTGAAACATTTTGTTTATCAACTAAGCTACGACAATTTCCGAATTTTCGTTTGAGATACATTTCTTTAAAAAAAACTGTGTCGCCAAATATAAAAAATTTTCGTGTTCACAATAATTAAACTATAGGATTTATTTTACAATTTGAGTGGGTTAAGAAGCTTAACTTTTTGAGAGTTTTCTTAACTTTTTAGTTTGAATTTTTGTTTTGAATAATTTTGCAAAAATTTTCGAAGTCGTGTCCGTTAAAATCAACAATTTTTTACATGAATTATATTTCATTCCATTCTTTAAATGCCAGGACGCTTTCAATTAATGTCTAGTCTACCCATTTGCTATATTTTCTCGTTTGTTTTACTAATTTTTGACCAATTAATAAACATGTTTTTGTTTTAGAAATTGATTTTCAAATTCCCCGCCATATTTTCATAATTTGGTGCATGTGCAGACGTTTTTCCGCGGTGTTTCTAATGCCAGAGACTATGTTACTCGGGGGGGGGGGGTGCTGACACTCAATGGTTGCCCTTAGGCATTGCATGATTATGACCAAACAGAATTTGCACATGAACAATAGAGATGAACATAATAATTATGAATTATATGTTTAGGTGGAAGCCTTAAAGAAAGCTGCATCAAGCAATCCTGTTGGGAGATGGTGGATAAAGGCAGATGCATGTGATGTCCGCAAAGGTTTGAGAGAAAGTGTTTGTGGAATGTGGGCAGGAGATGAAGACCTTGGAGATGGTTATCTGCAGGACTTGTATAACAAATACAAGGATGATTGCTCTTGTGTGAAGAAGATAACTCCAAAATCAACATCACAATTGAGTGTTGAGAAATTTCAAGAACTACAGCAAATGCTTAAAAGTTATTTGGAATTCCTTACAACTGGAGAATCTCGAGCGAGAGTTGCCTATGAAAAAGTATTGAAAGCATCACGACCATCTGACAATGTAATGATCGAACTTTCATGGGAGCTTATCGGTTATGAAGAGCTTTTAAAGCAGAATAATGAGCTAATTCAAGAAATAACATGCATTGTCAACAGATTTGAATGTGGCCAGCAACAAGTAGTTAAATCATGTATTGTCAAATTGGAACCAAAGTTGTTTAATTATGTCAAGCAGGTCTATATGAAGAAACGCAATGCTGCTACCCACCTTATGATATTTATGATATCTGATGAGTTAAGAAATACCAAACCCTATGCAGTGCCTGTGAGATTTCTGCCATACCACTCAATTACTGATGCCAAACTACGTGAACTTCAGTCACAGATTGAGGATGCAATGGTAGCTGTAAACATGGTAACTGTCGGTAAACATATGAAAACATATTTTGCATTGTTCTATTAGTTCTAGGTGCAAACTCCTACTGTAACTAACCCATCAAGTTGCATTGTGCGGACAATTTTACTCTTCAAGGGGAGCGAGAGAGCGCTGGCACTGTTTGAGTTAATAATCCAATTTTGTCTGAATGTTTAGTCTAATGAAATAGCCCATTGCATTCGTAAATGATGGTGTTATTTTATGTTATTCTTATGTTATTAAAAATATATATTCTAGGTTTTACCACTGATGGCGAATTCAACTCACTGCGAACAAAAGGAAAAACACGCCCAATATCAGTGGTCGAAATCATAATGATGGTGAAGAGGGAAGCTAAGAGCATTAATTTGAACACTTTAACCAAGATATTTACCATGGATGAGAGAGGTACAGTATGTGCATGCTGTTAAGACATGTTGCTATCTGTTAAGACATGTTGCTGTTAAGAGATTTTCCTTCACTTGCTTGGTACTGAATTGCTTATCAACTGCATCGCTCATCGCAAAAATCGTAGTTATTCTATAAGTGAATCTTTCGATTGATTAACAAAGAAGGAAATGTAGAGGTGACATTTGTATAAACATATATTTTTTGTTAGGAAAATCTATTAACCCACATGCTGCTGTTCAGTTAGAAGATGTTGTCCTTGTCCATGAATTGATGTCCAAAAGATCGAGAAGAACCCCTGTCATTGCGTAGTGCCCTCTTGCTCCTAAGAAGAAAATTATTTCCATTCTGTTATGACCCAAGCCCTTGGATCAAAGGTAAATCATACAAAGTTTTACGTTACAGGTCCATCAAATAGTATATTTCAGCATGTCCCTGCATTTGGCAGATAATTGAAAAATTCTGCCGATATTCAGTCAATCTACATGCTGAATACAAATTGTACAAGTCAAAAATTGAAACAACAAAACATTTTTTGAAAAAGTAATGACACTATATTTACACAAGAAAAGCCTAGGTGGTCTGTCTCTAATTTATAGTTAGGTTTTGTGATAAAATACAGTAAAATACACGCCCTCATCAGTTTGGATATGCCCTAGTCTCGTGTACAGATTTCACTATGTACAGCTTCTTCCAGACTTGTTTAAAAAATGCAACTAAATATATTTAATACTTATTGACATTCAATTGATGTTATTTAACAGGAAGAGAAGAGACAACTGGATAGGTACTAAAGTCGTTAATTGCGATTTATCTGTACAGATCACGATTGCAAGAGTTTAGGGATAACCCAGATGATCCTGCAGATTTTTATCATAATCTTTATCAGCCGGAAAAAGATGTCCGTACAAATGAATATGTTCACCACCGAGAAGACCATAATCACCTGTTAAAAAGAGTTATCTTGTGTCTCCGGGAAGGGCATATTCCCAATTTCGACTTGCAATCTCTTTGAGATGCTCTCCACGACCCTAATACTGGTTTGACATACGAATCTCTCACTGGTAAGAATAAACAATCTGTGCCGGATTGTGAGCGTGTCATTTCTCTTGGGGTGATAGAGTTTTTAGAAAAGAATAAGTATGTCAATGAAGCAAAAATCTTGTCAATTATCCACAACTGGCACAAAGCTGTAGACGGGCGAGGGTTAAGCGAAGATCTACGTTCCAAGTACTTGTGTGAAATGAAAGATTGGATCCTTGATGACTGGATGCCGTGGGACAAGACAGAAAGGAACTATTCTCTAATTGATGTTAATAGGTAAATATTGGCAAGAGACTTTTCTTCGCAAGTAATATTTCAAATTGCGGTAATTTGTGGTGGCCTTCCCTAGTCTTTATAGTCTTTATAGATTGAAAATAATAACTGTAAAGGAATTACATCATATGAACAGAGGGCTCATAGCCAACGAGAATAGATCTTGTAAATAGTTAATTTGACAGTGCACAATTCAGCTTGTTTGTTCATACTATCAAATTCTAATGTTCTAGGTGTATTGAATGGATGAGGACATTCTTGTACCAAGATCAACTCAAAACATTTGATTTATTTGAAGGTACTAAATAAGTTTTTTGTTTGACTTACATGAATATAGATCCATCAAGGGAATTTGTGGCTTCACACGAGAGCTTATTGTTGGTCTCATTGCCAATTTGGAGAGTCGAGAAATACGAAGACGAGAATATCTTAAGAGAAGTTTACCTCCTGAGCACCCACGAGCGTCCTCTAGTGATGATGTCGAAGGATTTGTTGCACTCCTGCACGAGATGTTTGGCCTGATTTTTGACCTCAAACAGTTTTATCAAGAATCAACAAAGATATTGAATGAGTTTGGAAAGAGAATTGATCCTAACCTGGCATTCTATTACTGGACTGGTGTTAAAGAGCGCTACAGAGATTTTGCCTTGCCCTCATTCAACTGCCCTACTGGTCTTGGCGTAGTGGAAAGGCTGGATGGAGTTAAATTGTCTAGGAGGGGCGACCCTGGTGTCTTTGTATCCAATCGAGCTTCGCTTCCACAACGAGGACAACTAACAGCAAGGGCTCATTTCCACAAAACTCCTGTAGCCTTACCACCTTCCCAGGTGTGACTACCACATGAATACTGCCTGCAAACCTCTGAACTATTTAACATGAACTATTTAATATCTGCCAATTGACAATGTTTTATTCAAACATTTATCAAGCATGACACAAGAACCGATGCTTTGTGGTCCTTAACTTGATGAACACTGGATCTGATTCCACTGCCTACAGCTATTGATTTACCTGTCATGATTACCAGAATGTCACAATTTGGGGCAGGTTGTACAAAGGCTGGATACTGCTATCCATCAGATAGTGATGTTTCCTACATTTCTAAAAATAGGTACCGAATGCGTACATGTGGCTAGCCTGGTAAACTTTAACTCCCCAAACCCTCCTCCAAACCCAGAAAGCCTGCCATGCTGGTTAACTTTAAATTTAATAGTAATAAGAAGACACACCACGATGGTCGGAATGCGCAAATTTTCTCCCACTTGTGCAGGCTCATTTTGTCAGTTGAGTTTCACGGTAGACTTGAAAAATACCGTGTCATATCTCGTCGCTTCCCATGTAAATAGCGAATTCATGAATAACACTTGAATAAACACAAATATGTGAATTTGCACGCTAGGCTTTTGAATATAACGATTGTAAAAAGTTTCCGTGTGATCTATTAGCAATTTAAAAGATACCTAAACTGTAATACTGCCATATATTTAATCTCGCGTTTGTTATTTGCGCAGCAGCAGTTTTGCCGTGGAATTAAAATTGCGTGTCATATGATATTTTTAATAGGCAAATAGCGTTTGAGATATAGCAACATTAGCAAACAAATACACTGAAATCTTGGTTAGCACACCAACTTTTACCACTTTTAATGCAATATTACTAAACTGTAATACTGCCATATTTATTTAATCTCGCGTTTGTTATTTGCGCAACAGCAGTTTTGCCGTGGAATTAAAATTGCGTGTCATATGATATTTTAATAGGCAAATAGCGTTTGAGAAATAGGCCTAGCAATATTATCAAACAAATACACTGAAATCTTGGGTAGCACACCAACTTTTGCCACTTTTAATGCAATATTAGTCAACTTATAAGAGAACGGGAGACAAATCATGCTGAATTATTCGACTATATAACTCCTAAGACAGACGCAATAACCTTTATAGGTTTATTACAAATATGTAGATATTTGAGACGCCGTCAATGTCTGAAGAAAGGTATACTTAAAGCCTTTAAATAAACGAGTTCGATGTTACGATGTACAGTTTCTGGTCTTTTACCATAATTATAATCATAATGCTGGTTTTATTCGCTGCATTATAAACGTACCTCCTCCAAACAATACCCCTTCTTTAAAATACCAAACATTTCGAATGCAATTGAGATATGAAATCTCAACAAGAAGACAATTCAAGATGGCAAATGGCCCGCAAATCAGTCAAAAGTGCAAATCAAAACCCATACTTACACGGCGAGTACGCGTAATTTCTGATCGGTTTCGTCACCATAGGTTGAAGCCATGAAGATAAACTTTATTTTAATTTTGTGGTTTAACAACCTCACCAGTACTGCGTCGTAACAAACTAACAACATCACTAGTATTGCCTCGAAATGCAAATGTGAAATGTTGCCAGAAAAATACGGGCGCTTCCGATTGCTCCCGATACTTTACGAAAATCCGGACTGGACACCATGATCATCATCGCTCATCGCGTTTGTGTACTATGTGATAATGGCTAGCCCGCAAACGGGCTAGCCACAAAAATGTCTCAAAAGCTTTGAAATGGACCTAGTAATTCATCAATACTTTATTTTATAAACTGAATACATCATGGCAATTTAAGAAAGCTTGAAAAAATCACTCTCTGGCAGATAGCGCAATCCAGTATCTGGCCTTCATACAGCCTGGGTACAATACAGCCTGGGTACAACCGACCCTAGTCCAGCTAAAACTAGTCAATTGACATCATGCTTTATTTATTTATAATACTGTATATATTAAACAACTTTCGTATATGAACCTATTGGAAGTCAAAGGAATAATCAAGTCTTAAAAGCATATTTTCAAAACATTATCTTACATTTTTACTGGCTTCAACTACGTTTTTGTGCCACATTCCATCTTTTGTAATTTCTAATGTCAAATAATATCCCATTCTATAATATGTTGTGCAAAAGCGAATGTTGCACACTGAAACATCCATTTTTTTTTAAATAGGTTTTAAATACTGTGTTAATTCTTTTGCAATATACCCTACTTTCTGAAATCATCGCCACAATCATCAACACTAATATACACAGCAATTGCTTCATTGTCTGTTATGTTCTCTGGTTCTTCTTCTAGTTTAGCATAGACATGCCGATTGTAATCGTTCAGGTTCAAATAGCCCTTTTCTAGGATGTTTTGTCTGCTAGAACAGTAACAAGTCCCCATAACTTTGAAGGGAAGAGTATCTGGGCCTTCAAAATCTGTATCAGTTTCTTCCTGAGAATGATCGGCATCTTGTTCCAAACTACCTGTACAATACCGATATTTTTTATAAAAATTGGGTCATATTTATCCATTACACCATAGAAATGCAACATTGTTACTTAGATACACACAAAACGTACCCCAAAATGAAAAAAATTCTTTTAAATACCGATATTTTTTATAAAAATTGGGTCATATCTATCCATTACACCGTAGAAATGCAACATTGTTACTAGATACACACAAAACATACACCAAAATGAAAAATATTTCTTTTAAATACCAATATTTTCATACAAATTGGGTCATATTTAACATTACAGCATACAAATACAATATTGTTACTAGATACACCCAAAATGTACCCCAAAATGAAAAAAAATTATTTTAAAATATACTGATATTTTTATAACAAATGGGTCATATTTATCCATTACACCATAGAAATGCAACGTTGTTACTAGATACACCCAAAAGATACCCCAAAATGAAAAAAAGTTCTTTTAAATACCGATATTTTCATAAAAATTGGGTCATATTTAACATTACGGCATACAAATACAATATTGTTACTGGATACACCCAAAACGTACTCCAAAATGAAAAAAAAAATCCTTTTAAACTATACCGATATTTTTATAAAAATTGGGTCATATCTATCCATTACACCATAGAAATGAATCTCACCTCCACCTCACTTGCGAAGCTTATGGTGACATTCGAGTAAACTTTATAAACAGTCTAAAAAACGATCTCAATACTACTGAGACAAACGTAAACGAACCAACTTTATCAGTTGACATAATGAAGTCAACTGCTAGTGACACCATCCTGAAATTATCGAAATTTATTTTTTCGTGTTTTGAGGAAAGACTTAAACAACTTGAAGCCACGAATGCTGGTAGTCATTAGTTAAACTTTCCATCCTGTAAATAGTATCTTCTTATAGTCTACTTCTTAAATATTTTTTATATGTTACATTGTTACGTTATAGTTAAGCTTTAGCAATACCTGTAAAATATGGTCATGCTAATAAAGCGATTCACGGTGGTCGGTTGCTAAGCATTTTGCTCCCGCTAAGGTTTCAATTACGTAATTAGAACTCAGTGTCATGCGGTTCCATTTTCACGCGAAGTATGCTACGCGATTTTGCGCGTCCTATATTTTCGCTTTTTTGTATCTTATCGACTAAGTTAAGGTAAAAATAGGAAGATATATATCTCATCTTGACCATTAAATTCCTTACAGCCTGACAGAATTTACCTAAATAGAGAAATATGGCTCCAGATTGCCATAACTTTTGATGTCACTTTGGGGTTTACCCGGTCACATGGAAGGCCTAAAATGACTTTCTAGGGGTCCCTAAGTAGGATAATGTATATATAAACAATTCCCCCTTGACAAACCCCCCCTTAATTTTAACAGCGCAAGAGGAATCGGCCAATAAGTTACAAATTTGTCAATTTTCGCAGTTTATTGGAGAAAATGAGATTGTTAGATTGCACTAGATCGAAAATTCTCAAGGGGAAAATTTAGATTTACCAATTATTGACTTACATGAATGGTTAGTTGTTCAAAAGGAAAGCAAGAAAGTGGTCTGTAAACCGCATGTAATTTTCATACGTTGCCTTGATGTGTTGTGCCATATTTGTTTACTTCGCCTCCTGCTGCGTGTCTTGAGTTAGCTGGTTTCTTTACTTCGATAAAAGCTTATCGCATGCCTTACACAAGTTTTATTTACATTAATATAACTACAGAAGACTGAGGTATAGTTTACAAAAGAAATCAGTTGCACATGCCTTTACTTAAGCTCCGATGAGGGAGCCGTGTTCTCACTAAAGACAACATGCCTTGGTAATCTGATAGTGACAGACGTTCTATGATCCTCACGGGAAAACCGTCATGAAAATCGCTTGGAATTATAACTAAATTATAAAATTAAGTGTGCGCAAAGACATGAAATCTATAAAAAGGTATAGTTTACAAAAGAAATCAGTTGCACATGCCTTACTTAAGCCCGCTGAGGGAGCCGTTTTCTCGCAATAAAGACAACATGGCTTGGTAATCTGATAGTGGCAGATGTATGTATTATGTTCCTCACGGCAAAATCGCTTGGAATTGTAACTAAATGATCAAATAAAGTGTGTGCAAAGACATGAAATCTGTTTCAAGAAAAGCTGCGTGTCATAAGAAATTTAAACCACTAGTATATATGTTACTATTATATTATTTTACGTGGTTACACGGATCTCGTACAGTATAATTCATATATAAAATTTAGTATACCTACTAGGTATGATTGCACTCTAGCTAATCTGCTATAGATTTTGTCATTGATACAATGGAAATTTAATTATATAGTATGTGTTTATATATCACATAAATACATCATACACAAACATAAAATGAAAACGTTTAATAGAACATATTCTGATATTCATCAAAAAAATTCTTGCGTGAACTATAGCTAGATTTGTTGTCGCCAACCAAAACAGTTGGCATGTTTCTCTGTCTGTATAGTTACACTGTATTAGTAGCGTCAGACAATTTCCCGAAAATTACCTGTATATACTAATGAAGAAACACAAATTTAGGCGAAAAGACGGACAGTGTGTACATTGGTTTGCGTTCCGCAATATGAAAGATAAACTGTAAAGGAGCAAATTAAATATCGTGGCTACGCTAGACCTATTCGAAGGCAGTTAATAGTTCCGATTGTTATTTGACAGCTAAAAATAAAATTATCACGATCGTTCCATTTAAGTATTGAAGTTTATAAATCTGCTAAAATATACCCAACAAATTTGTTCTAACAGCAAGAAATTTTAAGCCAAACAGGCATGGCCCTTCTGATTATTATAAAAAAATAGGTACGTGCTGCGTACATGTGGGTAGCCTGCATTAACTGTTGTTAAAGTTGGAGTAATACCGAGGTTGGACTTTGGAGTAATACGCGCAACAAAATTGCTGCAGCCAAAATTTCTGCAACAAAATCTGATTTCAACGCATTTTAAGTAGAAATGTTGACAAAACATTTCAATTAACATGCGCAGAAATCAGATTTTGTTGCAAGTTGCTGCAATTTTGTTGCCCATATTAGTATATTACTCCACCTTAATTGCTATTGTCAAATTCCGAATTTACTGAAGGAAAGTATTAAGTAAATTGAACACAATTCAAATATTATACACACATTTAATCACATACTGAACATCAGATATGACAAAAATACGTAAACGACTGTTACGTGCATTTTTCAATAAGCATAAACAGATTTAAGAAGTTACAAAGTATTTTAATGTGTCAAAAATAATTTGCACACTGAACAGACAAAACAGTACAAGGTCTTTAATATGTATACGAAACAAAATACATCACACGCCGAAATACAGACAGTACGAAAATAGACTAACGTAAATATGTCCAATATGTCCAATCTATATCACTAATTACTATATTTTTCTAATACGTATAAAATATTTGATCAAACTGATATGTCGTGTTTAAATATGACATTACAAGATATAAAACAGACCCCTTGTGCTAATATTAACCCCAATGACCCTTGTACAAGCAGTGATTATAAAAACAACGACATATTTGATTCTATATGCGTTGGAAATGACTATCGACCTGACAAAACATATTACAATAAAGACTTTACTAAGAATTTATACACATCTCTGTACGGTATGAGCGTTAGTGAACTTAGCCTGTGGTCTATAGACGGTTCGTATTTCAAGGATAAAAGGAACCGCGCAGCAGGACACTGCAGACATGAAGGCCACAGCGCCACAGAGAAACGGAAGATCGCGCTTCAGTCTCTCACATAGTGGTTAGCTGCGCATGCGCGGCTACCCACAATAAAACGACGCCATTTCCCATTCACACTAACACCGCTGGAAAAAACGAAGCCCGCGCTTCCGGGAGCATAATGCATAGCAACCGACCACCGTGATTATCAATATAGAAATGCAACATTGCTACTAGATACACCCAAAACGTACACCACAATGAAAAGAATTCTTTTAAATACCGATATTTTCATAAAAATTGGGTCATATTTAACATTACAGCATACAAATACAATATTGTTACTGGATACACCCAAAACGTACGTACCCCAAAATGAAAAAAATTCTTTTAAATATAAATATTTTTTTATAAAATTGGGTCATATTTATCATTACGCCATAGAAATACAACATTAGGATCTACGATCGATTATTACGATCTACGACGCAGCCGGCTCGACGACGCGGTGTGAATTTCAGCTCAAGAGTGAGCGGTAAGCAATTTGATTACTGTAATAAATATTTGACGCTTTTTCAAATAACCTTACAAACTGCTACGTTCGGCTGAAACGATGCAATTTTTGCTGTAATTTCGACTTTAAGTAACACCTCTTGGATCGCATTAAGCTTTCACGTTGCCTGAAAGACGTAATAACGCTTGTTTAACGTTGTCTAGCTTGAGAATGACAACGCGGTTGATAATACTCCTGGGTCCACAAATTATTGACAGTTTTTGTCTTGCATGACAAATTTCTTTGTAAGTTCTTTGTAAGTTTGTATGATGGTAAAACATATAATACTATTGTTTGTGGAAACACCAAATTTCTTTGTTTTGAAAAGCGTGTCGTCGAGCCGGCCGTGTCGTAGATCGTAAACTCCCTATTGTTACTAGATACACCCTAGATAGGGTAACTTAAGAAACTGACAGGAGTTACAGCGACATTGAAAAGGAAAGCACTGCATGTTTTAGGCAAATAAAGCAACAAAACTCATAAACATTAAAAATTCAAAGCAAGGAATTTGCCCTATAGCTCATCGTTTTTTTTTAGTAACTCAATTGTTTGGCTCGGGAATTAGCTAAATAACAATGCTTCCAGTCCCCTGGAATAAGGTAATCCCGTATTAGCTGCTCTTTGGCAGGGGTATCATGGTTGCACCCACTCATTGTAGCTGGATTCTGTTATCGTATTATATTAATTACACTTTTAGGTTTAAGAAAAGTCAACTGATAATTAAAACTGTCAGATCATTAATTGACAAATCATTTATCCATAGTTGTATTATCATTGATCATTTCGTTGTCTGAATCATTATCATCATTGTCTTCATTGTCATAGTTGCTGTCATCGTCACTGTCATTGTTTACAATGGTGTGTAGGATATCGCCACTGTAAATACTAGAAAATTTCTTTGACCCACTGTTCAGCTGTTGCTTCGCAAAGTGTATTCCCTTATAACGTAAAGCCATCTCACCTAAGATAACACGTCGGGACATACAGGATGAAGAAACATACAAGAATTTCTGAAACAAAATAATAGAATGTAAATTAGTCCCCTGATAATTACAAATCGAGAAAAAGAGTTGCATGCACCGAAGCTTTTCAGATGCGGGAGTATATCACGTCTAAATTTTGTGTTTCATCATTACCAGTTTACTTTGGGTATTCCGGTCCCTTTAAGAGGGGATCATCGCATTATGGCTTCATTAGAATGGCTTAAACTATTAAATCAATGTTTTCCGCAGTTAGGTTGAATAATCCTTTGCGCAGTATACGCTGTTGGTATCTGTATATATGCTGTATTTTTATTTATACCTCGGACTCAACATCTTGGCCTGACGGACTTCCAGGGGGGTCTTCTTCAATTAATGCTGCTTCTACATACAAAAAAGGTCAGAAGAATGACTGCTTCAAAATAAAATAAAATACCAGAAAGGATGTTTTATCCTTTCCAGGTTTTTTCTAAAAGTAGCAATTGGTATGCAAGATGTAACGTTTGGACACATCTAAACATTGGATCAGGCTGAATGTGGTTAAAATTAAACATCCCGGTTTATCGCCTCGTTGTCATCACACATCTCCATATTTGAAAAGTAATCAAATGACGGTTTTTCTTATACCTGAATTAAGATTACGCTCCAGGTCTTTGATTTCTGTTTTCAACTTGGAAATAACGATATCTTTATAGTATTTTAAATACTGAAGCATTTCTTTCTTAATAAGAATTAGCTCCTCGTCCAGTCTTTTTAAATGTTCAAATTTGTCCATGATTTTACATTTTAGACGAACAGATATGTCTAGGAATAAATTTTAAGAATACAGTATATTAGGCAAAGTGCAAACTTTCACGCAACTAAATTATCAACACCTACAGATATTTACAGAATATATTCTGTATATGTACCATTGATTGTCCAAGGAAACATGCCATCGACCACAGCACACTCGTCGAGAGGTGTTTCATTTCCATGTACAGCAAGCTGTATTACGTTAAACATAAATATTTTTTTGTCGATACTTTTCTGATCAGCGGACATCTTTTGCCTTAGCTTTGCTCTACCTTTCGCTGAACCTTAAAAAATAAACCAAAAGAAATAAACCTTCATATCACATTAACGTAATCATACCGTTAAAGATGGCAAGAGTTAAATCACAAACGTGCCACCGCACAGAATGCTGCGTTTTTCATTTCAAACAAGACTTTTCACCCCCATATTCAAAGGCTGGATGTACATGAGACATCCATGTTAATCACAAAAACGTCGTCCGCTTAGCTATCTATATTCTCTATTATACTATCCACATACTTTCCAGTTTCCCAATGCTTGCTTTTCTCTGTGCTAGTGCAAACGATAACATTTCCAGTTCATTCTGAACGGACTTCAAAGCATTTTCCAAAAACAAAGTCTTTCCTCTATCGAGTAGTACTGCAGAGCACAGTAACAGCACCGCAGAGCTTGGCTGTAAGCAAGTTCACCCTCTGATGCTTGTCGTTGATTGTCGAATATTTTTCGATCACTTTCTTTGAAAGAGCACGAAGGTATTCTTCAGTCTCGGCGGAAGTGGTGTTCATAGTTGAGGGCAATAATGAGGTACCGGTTATCGCTGCAGTCAAAACGTAACACTCTTCTTCTTCGCTCGTATAGGAAAATGAGGTGCTTTCCAGTTCTATATACAAATGCAACAAATAACCTTATTGTGTATGAATTGATACTTTCTCTAAAATAGCTGTAAGACAGACAACTTACTGTATAGGCAATGTGCAATTCTTATCTGTAAATGCAGAATTTTAACCTCGTCTTATCTGAGATGTAATCGACGATAACTCGAATATAGTGTTTAATTTGTACTACTGTAATCGCCTTAAGTCTTGTTGTAGCACCCTTCAAAATCTCGTTAATAATTCATGAAGAAAGCACAAAGAAAAATCATAAGCGTGTCGTATCTTTACATGATAGAGATTTCCCTTGATTTACATAAACTTTAACTTTGATTTTCTTGACTTACACAACGTATTTTTTTGAAAATTACTTCGCCAATGAACTTACTAGATCGATCGTTTTTGAAGCAATTTGAAACATTCGCAGTGCGTGTTTTATCAGACCTAAAGATACTGGTCTTCGCCTCGTATCTTTATATCTGATAAAACACTGCTGCTCATGTTTTAAATGTTGCCACAAAATGTTAAATTAAAAAATTTAACTAATAACGCATTCCTTGTGCATAATTACCTTTTGCAACAAATTGAACATCACTCTTCCACTGCACAGAATTAACATTGTCCTGGGAAAGATTCACGCTAGAAAGCATTTCATCGAGTTCTTTCCTTGTGTTATCACATGCTTTTACAGACTGTTTAAAAAATAAAGTTTATAAAAAGCAACAATCAAAGTACTGTAGGAGATAAAAAATAATACAACTCCATAAAATAAGAAAATTAAAAAGGGCAGTATGATCCAAGTTTTTATTTTCTTAAACGAAAGTGCTCGTAAAACTGTATAATAACTTGTTTTGAAGATTTTTGTTCCCACGCTTAGTTCTTGAGATATTTCATTTTGTTTGTAACCATGTGACGTCATTTACTCAATTACATATATAATGAGATATCAGCAATTGTTGTGTATCTTTGCTATTTTTATCAAAATATTTCGAAAGATGCGGCGTGTTTGTTAATTTAACCTGCATCATTAAGCATACTGTGTTTTTTAACAAATTGATCAAAAATAGCAAAGATACACAACAATTACTGATATCTCATTATATATGTAATTGAGTCATTGACGTCACATGGTTACAAACAAAAGAAATATCTCAAGAACTAAGCATGAGAACAAAAATATATATATATAATAAATAAATATACAGTTTTACGAGCATTTTCGTTTAAGCTTTGGAGAATAAACATTTTGATCATACTGCCCCTTTAATAAAAAGTATAATAGTACAGAATCATGATTTTCATTGCATTTGTAGCATTAATTACCAATAGGCGACTAAATTATAAACATAAATTAAATGATACAGACAGACAGTACATATACTGCACACCAAGCAGGTGTTTTGAGAACCAACCTTTGCATATCTCTTACAGAGGGCATTGGACATATCACAAATTTTTCTTTTATTCCATGCAAGGGCATGCTCAGTTATTAATTCTTCTCGTGCTAAAATTGTATAAAACGACATTAAATAATAATTGGAATGTTATGCATGTATCATGAAAACTTACAGTACCATAGTTTACAGTACCTACGTTTTGCATCGGCAAAAGAACGGCAATATATTGACAATTTACACCCCAATGTTTTACCATATGTCGCCATTAAAATCATGTGTATTCTTATAGTATAATTGTATACTATACAGTATATATATATGCTTATTTATTAACATTTGGTAGTTCTTTGAAAATTATCTAATGTTTCAGGATATTCTTTTATGTTATTCTTTGTTTGTTTTTGTTAAGTTCTATCCGTTAAGTCTACTCTTTAATAATTTCACCGCACCCATCATATATACAGTAATGTAATTGAAAGCTAACCTAGAATGTCAAAAATGTTTCGTTTTGGAGTTGGAGTTGTTTTGTATTTTATAAATTATTATATTGTAGTATTATTAAATAAATAATACTTACATTCAGGCAACATGTACTTAGTAGTATTATATAGACAGCCTTGAAAGATAACTATTAATCTGTTCAACTTCTTCTCCGGTGGAATAACCAGTTCCTTCTTGCCATCGTCCTCCCCACAACACCTGTTTACAATACAATTTTTGTTTATAAGAATTTCTGTATTACTATATATTTACAGTACATTGCTGCGGAAGAATGGATGCTAAATACCTTAAGGCTTAACCTTAAACTTGTAATGGTAATTACTTTTTTAAAAACACCATTCATTATAAATCCAGCAGAATTTACCTACCTGGCATGTCCAATTATGCGCTTTTGCATGCATTACAGAAAAAGCGGGCTTTATTTCATGATTTTCTGACTTATCCAAATTTGTCTTTAGTGCCCATTTCCAATATTTGCAAATTATATCTTGCCAAATGTATTTCACATTATTTGGAACCATTTTATGGACATGGATGTAATTTGAATAGCCATAAATCTCTCCACGAAACATGTTTACTGCCCATTGAGCTACAGCATGACGGCAACCCGCAATTTCCAGTCCTGTTTCGTCCAGGTGAATCTTTCGTTTTCCTTTGTTTCCAGCAGCTCGCCAATTAGTTTCCCCACATTTCCCATCATCAGCGAAGTTCTTTAATGTAGAAAATGAAACATTTCAAAATTGATCTGGAATTAGTATATGAATATAATAAATCGTGTAATCTGCACGGTTCGTTCTATAGCTACTGTATTACCCATCAAGCATATACACCATCATACATGCATGTATGAATTTTAAACCTTTTGAATAATTTAAATGTAATATACAGTAGCCGTTTCACTATGTATATGCAAGTAGAAGCCCACTTAAACACATTAATTGTTCTAAAAATCCATTGAATATTGACGGAGGGGCAGGATACTGTAGGCAAAACAATGTGTTGATTTCTGACAGTAATTTAAATATATTCAGTGACGCTTAATTTATACAGTATCTTATAATAATTTATTTTCACACTTCATAAAGTATCAACATGTTGTGTCACCAACCAACCAACCAACCAACCACCAACCAACCAACCAACTAAATAACTACAACCAACCAACCAACCAACCAACCAACCAACCAACCAACCAACCAACCAACCACCAACCAACCAACTAAATAACTACTGTCAGTACTGTATTAAGCCCACATAACTAACTAACTAGCAAACTAACTGACTATATAATTGTAAGTAGTTAACTGATTATAACAAACTAGCTATTCTCGAGCTACAGTAATACTCAACTTAGACTTTGGTCTTTTAATCTAGGGAATATTGAAGTGATGCTCAATTCAAAATACCTTACAGAAATCTTTTCTCAATACGTATTATACATAAATCAAATAGGTATGTATATCTACGTATATACATCACACATTTGAGGTTGAGTTACCTGAACTTGTGGTCTTGAATAGACTTTTTTAAGGTGCTCGCTGACATGCGTATTAGACAAAATAAACAGGTCTCCGTAGTACGACTGACTTTGCTCCCTGTAGAGGAGAAAAGAAATTAGATTTCAGCAACTGGGAAAAAGGCGTCAACAACATCAGCAAATGGCGTTGCAAATCCATTTGCGTAATAGATACTTATATTAATATATATTATCCGCATTTTACAACATTTCGCAACGAAACTTTGGAATATTACTAATTTTGTGATGCTCTTTCAAGCTGTGATGAAATTTTTGTCTATTACGCAAGTGGTCAATTGCCTTGAAAGGATTTCCACTTAAGCCGGTTTCCATTAAGCGGAATTTTCCGCAAGGAGCGGAATTTTTTTTTGTCTTTTCTAATTAGTTCCACCCGAGAAATCACAAGACAAAGAAAAATTACGCTCCGCGCGCAAAATTCCGCCTAGTGGAAAACCGGCTTTGGAACGTTCAACACATATATATATGAATAACATTAGATATGCTAGAAGCTCGACAGAGATATTGCATACATGCATGTATTAACATTTTGTATCTTTCAACTATCAGCCAGCAATCTTCGACATGATTATCACTTTACCTGTCAACTGCAGACTGACAGTTGAAGGCATCTGATCAATCAAACGTTAGCCGCATATGATTATAACTACACCATACAAAATCTATACATACTGTATATGCAGTAGCAGTTAATATATAAATCTACTTTCCATTAAAGTTTTGAAATATGAATTTCAACAAAACTTAGAAAAACTTTACAAATATTCATTTCAAATGAGACATATTGATCGGGGCTGTAGGATGAATATAACTAGATGGTTTAACATAATACCTTCCTGAATGTTTGTATCTGCATAACTTCATGTTGCCATCTACGTGACAAGAGTGTTGATCTGAATGGCAACTGGGACACAACATCCATTGCTTTGACTGTTCCTTTTCCATTTCATAATAAAAGTATTTCCACTCACGAAAAGCCTTCGTGAATGTTCGTGGATTCACTGACCCAAACTACAAAAGGCAATTAATAAACTGCATACAAAATTAAAGTTATTTTGCATGGATATATATGTCAGGTGTATTTTTAAATTTTCTTTCAACCGAAATGGGTTTTTCCCACTTACATATGCATAGCATAGCCGTGCATTCAACATATTGTAATCAGACAATCCTTGATATTTAACAGTAGTACCGACATTAGCAAGGCAAACTTGGTGCAACTACAACTTTTTTGCTAATTAAAAATAACATTAAAATAATTAAAATTTGATCTTTTTCCTTCATTCATATGGCAAGTGACTTATTGTAACTTTAACTCAAACTTGTACACAAATCTAAATCTCCTATTGCCTATAACACACGATCTGATCTTACCGATACTGCACTTGGCTGGAAAACATGGCTACATGGATCACATACTGTATCATTAGTTTTTGGGGAACCTGCCCGATATTGCCTTCTGATTAATTCTGCAAGCAAAACACTTTTACGATTAATTCAACACACCCTTCCTTTTGAAATGGTGAAATCCTCCAAAGATCTGATAAAGCTTGACTCAGAACAACCTGGCATTCTCTTTTGCTTTTTGTTCCACAGCAAAAATAATACAATACACACAATACATGATGGTGAAGGACCAGATTTATGAATAAACGTTGACTAACATACCATAGATATACTGTATTGTTATTCTGATTAGTTTCACTGTAAATTCTATAGTATGTAGTACAGTAAATATACTCAACACTCAGATTACAGTACTTACTGTAATCAAGCCATTAAGCTGCAATGTGCCATACTTTATAAATTTACAGTCACTTTGTATTTAATGCCAGATGATTTTACTCATTAAATTTAGAGCATTCTTGTACATCAAAGGGTTAAGATATCATGATTACAGATGATAATTAACCTATAATTGGGTCTACAAAAATTCAATCAATACTGTGTGTGAGCTTTATGGAAACCTTCTACAGTACCTTAGTCCTTAACTTGTGAAGTAAACACAGTCAGGATCTCACTACTTGGCACAGGGTAAAAGGTAGATTCTTTAGAGCAGCCAAGACACAATTTCCGAACAGGATGAAAAGGAACATAGCACTCTAAGTTATACAAAATATATTGAATTTAAAAAGTTCATAATATACCTTAATTATGTTTTAAAAAGCAATCCTGTAATATCTTAAATTTCATATCATCATTAAGCTGCATACTGTAGCTTCCCCATTGACATCTGACGAGTAAAATCATCTGGCGTTAGACAAGTATAAAAATAAGTAGGGGCGCACTGGGGTGCATTGCGGCTCAATGGGTTAACTAGAGACATTGTCAGATTTTTTGGTTAATTTATTAACCCAGCTGCAGAGCTTTCCCATTGATGAGTAAAATGATCTGGCGTTAGACAAGTAAAAAGAAATATACTAGGGTGCACTGGGGCACATTGCGGCTCAATCGGTCAATAGAACAATAGCCTGAAGAACTGCATGCAAGCATTGAGCATGTGACATTCTAATGTAGCATTCACATACCCACATCAATCACTAGCCCATTTTCATCCAGGGACTGTGAGGGTTGAAGAGGTCTGAAATGATTTTCAAACCAGCTTTGTCTATCATGGAAGGGCTTATCATGATGAACTGTCTTATCATAGGCCAATTATCATAGGCCAATTATCACCACACTGATGGCATCTTATCAAGCCTGGATGTTCATCACAATTGGAACATAATGTGGCTTCAGCAACTGATTCATGCTGAAGCATGGTTTCAAATATTAATGACCTGTGTTCTTCCCATACAGAATGAAGTTCTTCCATACGTTCAGACCATTTCTTGGTATTCCCCTTTTCTGAACCCAAAAGCCACTGCATTCTGATATAAGATTCTCTAACTCTTCATCTGCATTAAAAAAACATGGTAATTTAACATCACAAAATGGTAATTTAACCAATTCAAAAAACCTTTGAATGCTCTCTGAATAACTGGGTAACAAAGCTGTAACACTAGTTTTCAACCATGAAAGTATTGGTATGCTATAAATAAAGCTATATACTGGTATTGCATGAAATTTAGGGCAAGAAAGTTCAAAGCTACAAATTTCCAGCTACAAATGGTGGTCATATGTTGGTAACCTAATTCTCCCCTTCAATGCTTTGAGAAGTGTCCACCACTGGTGGTTAATTAAAGACACAGATTGACACAGAGTAAACCACCACAACATATTGCAATTCCTGTAACCACTTTTTTTTCAAATTGAATATATATAACAAGCCCACAGATATGAAACAAGTCATCCATGTCAGTATTGGGTTACAAGTGTGTATATTGGATACCTACCAATATCGATGTCCCTTTGAGTGTGACAGTCATCTGTTCCAAAATTGTCATTGACATTGATAGTATCCAACAAATGGCTTTCTTTTTGCTGGTTAACACCTGGAATTATATAATTTAATCCATTGAGCCGCATTGCGCCCTACTTTTTTTTTACTTGTCTAATGCCAGGCAATTTTACTTGTCAATGGGGAAGCTCTGCAGCTTAATGGGTTAAATTGCAATTAATGTAGATAATTAATGTAGTTAAATGTACTTGCCAGAGGCTTAAATGTGCCTGTACAAAGATATATATCCCACACAAACTCTGTTCACATATGGATGCTGGACCGGTCCACTGTAGTTATTTTTATTTTGTTGGGTTTCTTAGAATTTTCCCATACGGTAGTGTAATCACTAACCCGGCTCACTGGCAGAATTATGTTGGATGATATTTTCTCATATGAAAACACAAAACAAATTCAACCTGGGTGATCTATCCAAATTAACAGACTGTGGACCTGACAAAGGGACCGGCTTTTGATGGAAACATCAGAATCTATCATTATATTTTTCGGGTTATGAAAATCAACTGCTTGAAGATCGATTGCTCAATGTGAATGATTTGTGTTCAATATATGGCTTTTAATTTTAATCGCTTTGTACTGTAGTGCAACTCCAACATACTGTATATACCTTTTGTCTTGGTTGATCCGTGACGAGAGCGATATGGTGTGTGTGTCATCCTCTCAGAGCCAACTCGCAGTAAGCGAAAATGAGAGGGCTTTCTTTGCCGCCGTTGTTTTGGTCCATCCTCTTTTGCCAATAGGGCTAAACCAGCGTTCACAACCTCTTCGAGTGTGTCGGATTTTCTCCTTTTACAAGCTGTAAAACAGTTTAATTAATCATCAAATATTTTGCGTCAAATATTGTCGACAATCTTAAAAATTTGCATATATATGAATATTAAAATTATAAAGCCACTCACGCTTTGGACGCTTTTCCGCCATTTTGACTTTTCCCAATGCGCAGATCATACCAAATTTACGTTCTTACTGAGTTTCCCCTAGATAGATGATTAGTATCTATTTGCACATTTTTGTCAAATGATACTATTCATGTAAGCATTGGTAAAGCAGATAATATTGGCAACGTTTCTGAGAGGAATTCATATTCAAATATGAGATAAATTGTTTAGAAACAGTTTTCAATTTCAATTCATGTGAAAAACGCACAACGTTCGAAATGCAGTTCTGGTAAAAAAGGCAACCTGCTGCCCCCGTGCTGCCCCCGCACTCTTCAGGCAACAGGAACAGCTGCCCCCGTGGCTCCGGCGCCCCTGTATGAGGGGATTGAAAGTATGTTTTGGATGAAAATATGTCATAACACCGCGAGTCGTATTTACAAGATGTCTATTTGTGAATTAGTTTTTACACGAGATTATTTTGAACCACCTTGTCGTTACAGTTCAGCATTACCCTGTCGTATGCATAAAGACTTTTTTTTTCATTGGTTGGGGGTTTATTTGAATGTCGACGGCTAAATAACAATCAACACCCTATATTGGGTAGAAATAGTAGAGATGCTGTTTTCGAGAAGGTATTTAATAAAGCGTTAAGGGATCATGCAGATGATATAGAAGCTATATTGTATATTTTAAAACATACACGTGTACTTGTGTCTTTGTATATTGTTCAATTGGCAAGATTTGAGATTTATCATCGTTATGGAAGATACCATATTGGATAGACGAATGAATTGTGTACTAAATAGTGTGGAATTTAATAAAGCTTTCCAGAGATTAAAAATAAAAATGGAGAATGACCATATTAGGAAATTTAATGAAAGATTAAAAAATGAGAATGAAAGATTAAAAAATGAGAATGACCAAATTAAGGTATGGACAAATTAGGACATAGATAATTTTATCAATATCTAAAAAAGTGAATGATCAAATTATGTACATATAGGAGTGTAATATAGTAAAGTTAAAAAGAGTTAGTTAGTTAAAGTTTAATAAAATAAAAATAAAAAATAAAAAATAAAAAAGAGAATGCCGTATGTTTATGATACTTATAAATCATCTAAGTGGGAAATTGAAGTTGCTAAATGGATGGAGGGCAAAACATTTTGTATTTGCGATCCTAACAATTGCATAGCTGCACCGCCAAAGGAAGAATGGAATGTTGAAAAATTAACAGCGGTTTTGGTTGAAAAGGGTTTGATACCGGTTATGATTCAAAATGATAGTTATTTGTATACCGTATTAATGGCACAAATGCATGTGCAATTGCTACGTAATTTGGTGGTACCCAGGGCTGTGACACATGGGAATTTTTATACAAATAGCCAACCCAAAAACTATATTTTGGGTGAAGCGTTTTCTACAAGAACCAGGAGTTTGGAAACCTTGGAAAAAGCAACTGGTGTAAATCTTAATTATTGGTGGAAATTGAAAGCATACCAGGAGGCTAGAGTAAAAGCTCAACCCTTTGTGGAACGCATGAACAAACGGGTTAGCTTTTATACTTATCATATATTTTTTGTACTTTCTACAAGCTTTTTTCTGTAATATTCTTGGTCTAATTTATCGATTATTCGACAAGCTGTACAGTGACAGTTACATATGCCCAATCTACCCTCTAATTCTTCTATACAAAACATTTACAATTTTCGTTAAACATAGCTATTTTTTATTTAGGATCGTCTTGGTGGGAAGATGACACGTAGTATGACAAAAGAAAGGGGGCCGTGTTTAAATCCTTATGCGAAGGAAGGGTGGCATTGTTCATTAAAGTAGTTGGATTGTTTAAAAAAGTAGTTAGTTTTTATTGTTAGTTAAACGTAAAGGAACAGTATGGATATGGTTGTTAAAATTATATTTTATTCGGGAATTTGATACGGTGGCTGATTAGGGCCATCCTCAATTTTTTTTTATTACGTTTTAATTTTTTTCTGATTACCATTTTACTTACCCTCGTTTATGCAGTTAGTTTTCAGCTTATTTCAAAATATCGACTTATAACACGAGATCTCGATTTAGAATACGAGATCTCGACTTATAACACGAGATCTCGACTTAGAATACCAGATCTCGACATATAAACACGAGATCTCGACTTATAAACACGAGATCTCGACTTATAAACACGAGATCTCGACTTATAACATGAGATCTCTACTTATAACGCGAGATCTTGACTTATAAACACGAGATCTCGACTTATAAACACGAGATCTCGACTTATAACACAAGATCTCGACTTATAACACAAGATCTCGACTTACAACACGAGATCTCGACTTACAACACGAGATCTCGACTTACAACACGATATCTCGACTTATAATGCAAGATCTCGACTTATAAACACGAGATCTCGACTTAGAATACCAGATCTCGACTTATAAACACGAGTTCTCGACTTATAAACACGAGTTCTCGACTTATAACACAAGATCTCGACTTAGAATACCAGATCTTGACTTATAAACACGAGATCTCCGACTTATAAACACAAGTTCTTGACTTATAAACACGAGATCTCGACTTAGAACACGAGATCTCGACTTATAACACGAGATCTCGACTTAGTTTACACGAGATCTCGACTTATAACGCGGGATATCGATTTATAACGCGAGATCTCGACTTGTAAACACGAGATCTCGACTTGTAAACACGAGATCTCGACTTGTAAACACGAGATCTCGACTTATAACACGAGATCTCGACTTATAAACACGATATCTCGACTTATAAACACGATATCTCGACTTATAAACATGAGATCTCGACTTATAAACACGAGATCTCGACTTATAAACACGAGATCTTGACTTATAAACACGAGATCTCGACTTATAACACGAGATCTCGACTTATGAGCACGAGATCTCGACTTAGGACACGAGATCTCGACTTAGGGCACAAGATCTCGACTTAGGACACGAGATCTCGACTTATAAACACGAGATCTCGACTTATAACACAAGATCTCGACTTAGAACACCAGATCTCGACTTAGAATACCAGATCTCGACTTAGTTTACACGAGATCTCGACTTATAACGCGGGATATTGATTTATAACGTGAGATCTCGACTTGTAAACACAAGATCTTGACTTATAAACACGAGATCTCTACTTATAACACGAGATCTCTACTTATAACACGAGATCTCGACTTATAAACACGAGATCTCAACTTATAAACACGAGATCTCGACTTATAAACACGAGATCTCGACTTATAAACACGAGATCTCGACTTATAACGCGAGATCTCGACTTATAACACGAGATCTCGACTTATAACACGAGATCTCGACTTATAAACACGAGATCTCGACTTATAAACACGAGATCTCGACTTATAAACACGAGTTCTCTACTTATAACACGAGATCTCTACTTATAACGCGAGATCTCGACTTAGAACACGATATCTCGACTTAGAAACACGAGATCTCGACTTATAAACACGAGATCTCGACTTATAAACACGAGATCTCGACTTATAAACACGAGTTCTCGACTTATAAACACGAGATCTCTACTTATAACACGAGATCTCTACTTATAACGCGAGATCTCGACTTATAAACACGAGATCTCAACTTAGAACACGAGATCTCGACTTATTAAACACGAGATCTCGACTTATTAAACACGAGATCTCGACTTATAAACACGAGATCTCGACTTAGAACACGAGATCTCGTCTTATAATGCGAGATATTGACTTATAACGTGATATCTCGACTTAGAACACGACACATGGCCATATGCGTACGCTGGCCATTTGTGCAGCGGCTTCATAAACATCAAAAGGAATTAAAGATGGCTGACACTCGAACAGAGACAGGAGGAGGAGTAGATGAGGTGAGTTATTGACTGATATGAAATCAAATATGACAAGGAGACAAGGACCTAATGTCACTCTTGTTAACCACAAGAAAGTTGTTACTTTTGCATTTGTGAAGACAAACTTTGAATTATGTATTTTCGTTTCAAGCTTTGGCTGAGAATTGTATGTTTTTGTTTATTGTGCTATAGAAATTGTTTATATCAAATATGTTTATATTGCTTTCAAAATCACTTATTTCTATATTTGAATTCAATTTTATTTTACAGGTGTTGGATTTTTTAAAAGGAAGAGGCATTTCCGAGCCTTTAATCCTGACCAATTTTGAGAATGAAAAGGTATTGAATGATACATTTCTTGTAGCCGGGAATTAGTCAGTTAAAAATATCATTGAAAATATTTTCTTCGAAGCTAGTAATTTTGTAATAGCAATGTTGAATTGTTCAAAGGCACAATATGGCATTTTATGTATTGTAAGTTTTAAAATTAATTAAAATGATTATTTTTAATTTATGTATTTGAAATTAAATTATGCACAAAAATAAAGGTGGCTCAATACAGTTTTAAAACAAATATAGGTACGCAAGGCTTATGTGTATCAGCGCATAATGCATTGATGTTGAGGGAATTGAATTTTTCATAGCAATTGGGCAAAATTGTGCTATTTTTTGAAATTATATTTGTGCTTCATGTAAAGAATATTTACATACATACAAACTTTACAGGCGTTCTGTGACCCCCGTCCGCGATCATATCAGATCATGTCAGTGGCATCTGGTAATTACTAAAATAACATCGCCCAAAGTTCGAAGTTTTATATTCAAAATTCCAAAGAATTTTCTCGTTGAAAACCGCTGAATATTTTTCATCTACAACTTTAGAAAGTGGGAAATATTTCAAGATGCATGGGCCATCATCATTCGAATATTTACCATCAAAGAACAAATATGATTGGTTTATACTTTATTTTGTCTAAACTGATACATTCCCAATTTCCCATGCACATGCAAATTACATCCTCTGAGAAAATCCACAAACTAACCCCTCTGAAATTCCTTGACGTGGCTAGAAAAACAGTAAATGCCATACCATCACAATATTTACTAAATCTCAGCAGATCCCTTTATTTACATGTTACTGTATATTCTGTATATTTAGATTTTCTGCATTTGTATTTTAGCGAGTGCCGGTGGTTGTCTAGGGTGTTGCATGCATTCGTACATGCTGCTAATTGGTGGTTCGAATCACGCAATGGCAAATATTTTGTTTTTCGTTCTCATATTTTATTCTTTAATAATTCTCCTAAGACTGCTTTTACAATACAGGGGAGTTACTATTGTATGACTGTAAATTACTATTATTAAATTGCCCCCTTCTTTCAAAATTTGATAAATTATTTTTTAATAGTCGAGGCCATTTTGTAGTTCGCGCCAATTTCCATAATTGTGTTAATTAATGCTAAATGTTGAGCCGCTGACATCATCTGATTTGATCGCGGACAGGAGTCACAGAACGCCCGGGATAAATTGACTACCTTATTTAACCACGCTAGCCTGAACAATCATTAGGAGGCTTATTTCCATAAGGGGCGTGAAATATAGAATTAATTATTTACAAATTAAAAAAAAAAGAAATATGAAAAAAGATAAAATAAGACTAGCTAGATTGCAGAATAGGGAACAAAAAAATACAATGATTTTTCATGCACAATCATGCATGAGCAAGTTTCACCTCATTCTTTGTTTTAATATTGATTAACCAGTGACTTCTAAATTAAGAGGAATAGTTCCAAGACATGCTTAATGAAAATCTATGGGCACTTATCGAGGTCACAGCAAATGGCCTAGTATTACTTTGATGAAACCAGGGCCTTAGGTAGACCGCTAATTTGGGGCGGGGTGTGTGCATATTCCTATATTCGTATTCTGTCTGACGGATTTCTTTTGAAGGTGATTGTTTTTACGGTATCTGAACATGAATACCCCCTTCCCCCCAATTATTGTGTATAGCTACGGCCCTGGATAAAGGAGGCCCAGGCAATCCATGCTTTTATATTTGTATATACAGTAATACAGAAAATAATCACTGAATTTTTTGTGGATTGCGCAGGCCGCTCGTGGGGAAATGACAAAACGCGGACCCCAGGTCTGTGGACTACCTTCGTGGACCTGGTCCATGGATTACCTTTGTGGACCACGGACCACTCCCGTGGACCACTCTCGTAGACCACTCTCGTGGACCACTCTCGTAGACCACTTGCGAGACACCAGATTTTTGGGGTTTGAATTCTTGACTGTGCATGGAAAAATGTGCTCGAGTTCAGTCATTATTATCATTGTGGAAACTTTACACAAAATGTGAAGTTCTAAATCCATTCACTATATGACCATTCTAAAATATAAGTGTGCAATTACGACTTTAATGCAAAGTTTCCGAATATATGCCCTTAAGATTGGTAGTTTTTTTTCTCGATCGCTACAGAAAATGCAAGAAAAGCAGTAATCGTGCTTCAAAAATTAATATTTTTGGGAGAGGACCTTCAGGCATTGAAAGGTCACTGCAACTTACGACTTCTACAGTTCAAGTGATTTTTTAACAGTAAAATTCGAATAATTCAGTAAAATCCTTTTACCTTTCCCCCTCCAGATTCTCCACAGTATTCCTATATTTTTTAACGAACCCTGACTACATTTTTTCAGCATTTTTACAGACTTAGTATTCACTGTTCATCAACAAAAACTGAATTGATTGTGAAATAAATAATGGAAATGAATAATGAAATAGTTCCCGCCAATCTCGGCTTCCTAAACTCGGGTTAATACGGATAGTGCTTGGTCTATTGTTCGGTAGGCGAAATTTCGCAAGTGGTCGACGAGAGTGGTCAGTGGTCCACGAGTGTAGTCCATGGACCAGGTCCACGAAGGTAGTCCATGGACCTGGGGTCCGCGTTTTGTCGTTTCCCCCGCTTGTGGCCTGTTTTGCTATTTATATTTTTGAAACAAACAAGCATAAAATGAACAACTTGCATATGCAAATGTCATGTCAGGCTGTATCGCAAAGGCTGACATTTGGTTAGTTGCATGTTTGCAAATGCAAGGAGTATGAGTCTAGTTCTAGGCAATATGTTGGATCTGTTTCCATTTTTGCAGTTTTTTCTATTTATGTACAGTTAAACTGAAGGGCAAACAGTTTAATTTCTATTTTGTCTTTGATTGGTTGTATGAATCATATCCTTTGCCAAGATTTGTTGTTACCTGCAATAGTACAAAGTTTTGTAATTTGTATTAATTGCTTTCTGGAAGGTATAAAGGTTCCTTTAGTAGGTTTCTTGTAAATAAAGCTATACAATCCATCTGACTTTTAATTTATGTATTGTTATTAATGATGGAAAACAGCCTTGTCACATAAATGCAAATTTGTGTGTTGATGACGTGATTGAGCACTAAATCTATCTGGCAGCTGGGGAACGTATTCAACAAAAATATTTACACCTAAAAACATGACATGTATAGCGTAGGAACTTTGTCATGATAATCGAACTGGGACAGACTGACCCTTTTTGATTACTTCAATGTATAGCGTTGCAAATATGTACAGTTTTCGTTCAAACACGTCAAACATACTCCTCTCTTACCTCAAATTTACCTCCCAAAATCTGGGGAGGTACTTCATGAGCTCCAACCAAGATATATAAAGTTAATCGGCATGCTTCTATATTAAGTACAACATAATTATCAATAGTTCAAGTAAATCTTATATGAATGGTATAACAGTGATAATATAAATTAATTTTCTTTTGAAATAGATGGATGTTGCAGCCGTATCATCAGCTACACATGAATGTCTTACAGATTTAGGGCTACATGCAAAAGGGGATATTTTTGCTTTGAAACCATTTTGTCATTGTCGTCAATTAACATTTACCAGTAAGAATGTAGTGGATGATGAGACAAACGATTATGAGGATAGAAAGAGGAAACTTCTGGCACAACTGCAAACAGGAAGCCAAAAGAAAAGGAACAAATCTGTTGACAAACATTCTAGTTCCAGCATGTCTAAGAGACCTGTTCAAAAATATAAAACACAAAATATTTCTTGGTTGGCTTCATTATTCTGAAAAAAAAGAATGGTTTGTAGCAGTGAGACTAAACAGTGGAGGAGGAACCAGAAGATTAGATGTTGGGAGCCATTTCAATAAGGAGCTGCTTATTGAAGAAGGCATATACCGATTGATTCTTCAGACGTCGACAATGAGGATAGAGGACTCACAGATGAAGACATTAAAATGAGCACATCAGATAATGAAGAAATCATAATAGAAAGTGGAAGTGAAAACGACGATGAAGTTCTAATGCATCCCGTTTTTGATAGTGGTACAACACTTATTGGTTCTTCAGAAGAAAGGCAAAACCTAATGGAAGAGCAAGACCAGTTATTTCAAGAATCATTAGATAACGATCGTCGTAAGGAAAAACAGTATATCAGAAGCCAAGGAAATGGAAGGAAATGAAAAAAAACGTTTAGAACAACTTAGACAAGCGAGACTCGAAAACGTTCCACCAGAACCACATCCACAGCTTCCTCATGTAAGAATAGCCGTGAATCATATCTTCATGGGCAAGATTGTTCATTCTAGATAGTATGATTGTCCTAGATAGTATGCAGGCAGTTTATGATTGGGTTGGCTCTTGTGCACTTCATCCAGAGCACTTCAATCTTTCTCAATGCCAAGGACAAATGATTATGCCATCTGATCCAATTGCAAATGTGGCGAACTGTACTCTCTACATGGAAGTATCAATGAGCCCAGTGCAAGTTCGTGAACAACAAGAAGTGCTTGCTTCAGAAAACGACATCCTTCCTGATACAACTAGGTAGGCACCAGCGTGGATCTTACAAGCCATGGATGATATCTTTTGATTATTATTTTGAATGATTCAAACTTTTTATTTACTGTTAATGCTGCAACCATTGCCGTAGCGATCGGGGGGATGTGGGGAGTGCAACATCTCCCACCCCCACATAATTTTTCATGAGTAATTTGAGGTAAATTTCCAGCAGATTTTCAGGTGAATTCAGGTAATTCTCAGGGCATAAAAAAGGAACTCTGTGCTCTGAATTAGAATTAGAGTTAACAATTGACCAACTAGTTAAAGAAGTTCAGACGCGTGGCCAAATACCCTTTCTGACGGGGACATGACCAAATACCATTTCTAACGATCTGGAGACTCCAAATTTCCGAAATTTTCCCAATTTTCCTAGTCACATTAAATTGTTTAAGTAACACTGTTATATTGATCAGTAGTTATTTTTCTCATCTCCATTGTTAAGCAGTACTAAAACATTGAAATCTTGGGTAGGAAAGACTAAAAAAATGCTATTTCCGACGGTCTAGAGAATTCAAATTTTCAAATTGAATGGGACTCGAGTCCCAAAATCAGGCAAAAACCGTTAAGGTGGCTCAATACAGTTTTTAAGAAAATGGAAAATTCACGACTTAGATGCGTTTTTTGGACAATTATTACTTGTTGATAAACAAAAAGTACCTTACTTATATAAAACAACATCTAAGGAGTTTGAATTTTTGCACAAAAGTTATGCAACTGCCGTTGCTATGGCAACAACGACGTTTCAAGTTGGCGGATATTTTGGCTTTAAAGTAATTTAACTCGTACTCAGGCATGTCAATGCCTGGGTCTGCCCACGCTTGGATGATATCTTGCGCGCGTGTTGCACGCGCGATCTGTCAGTAATGCGTCTGTTAGAATATTCACCCCTTGTGTGAGTATTTTAGTGAATTCGGGCATTTGCTTCAAATCAAAATATAGTATATATGAGCGACAGGATTATTTTGGAATATGCAATGCCAAGAAGTCGGTATACTATTGAGTTTTGATGTAATAATTGGCTCTTTGTATAGCAATAAGTATTGTATCATTTGCGACAGCTGACCTTTGAACTGCTGATAAATAAAAGCTTCTTATAGTGCGCTATCTTGCGATTATTCAGTATTAATTGTTGACTGTTTCTTATTTTCAATGAAAAATTGCTTGTGAATTACAAATTAATAGCACATATAGTTCACTCGGTCTTTTCCACCATGGCATACTTCCCTTCAAGCATTAACTATGCTTCAAGATATCAGCTTGAATGCGCAATGAATGTTGTTATTGGAAATATAATATCCCTTACAATAAGCGGCAGACTGTTTCATTATGGCGCGTGAAATTCATCACGCGAAAAACGCGTTCGACTTGCAGCAGGGTAATTTGACGAAATTTTGCTATGTTTGTTAGCTAAAAACATTAACAAGGGAACAAAGTTTCCTGCGTTAATTTGGAAACCGTACATTTATTTGTAGATAACATTTAATGACGCGATTAACATTTGTTTGATGCCGATCATCGTAATATAGCCGCATAAAATAATGAAACGAAGCCTAAATGTAAACTTTCCGAATTTATTCAATAAACAGTGATATTATGTGTGAATGATTATCGCAATTCTGCGTCCTCCCAGTCACGAAATATACTGCTGCAGAGCCTCTGAATAAAAAGTATTATTTTTTGTGTTGTTTTTTGAAATATACATCACGTGATCGTTGCCATGACAACGAAAAGTAGGTCATCTTTTAGAATCTCCTTTGATAAATCATATAAAACTTGAATGGTAATAATCAAGGCCATACTTATTTTTTTATGATTTTTTGTTTATTTTCGCTAAATACACAGACTGAGACCCAGGCATTAATGTACCTGAGTAAACGACAATTAGTCATAATTTTTTTTGGTCCACAGAAATTTTTTTAAATTGTACACATGTTACGATAATTGATTATACTAAGAGAAATCATTTTTTAAAATAAAATACTTCTAAATCGTGTATCGAACCACCTTAAATTGGAAAACTTCAGGTAAATCTAACCTCCCCAACGCAAAGTCGTGGCAACGGCCCAGGCTGCAACACATACATGCGTACTGGCCCAGAACATCACTACTGTCTGGCCATTAAAACCAACACTTAGGTCTTTAATTAAGGTTAGGGTAAATACCGGTCTCACATGTGGAGGGTTAAGTAGGCTAAGTTTTTAGGTTACCATCGTAAACTCGCACTTTTGTTGCGCAGTAATAAAAAACAGGGAAAATCGAATTTGGCAAAAATTATTACATTCAATTTTAACTTACACAGTTCGAACACGCCTCCCTTTCTTAAAGGGGGAAATTCGCCTTCTCAAAAAAGGGCATGAATTTTTTTAGTTATGATGGCCATTTCTTAAAGGGGGAAATTCGCCTTGTCAAAAAAGGGCATATGGGTTGTGATGGGCGGTTACTGAAAAGGCACTTTAAAATTAATCAGTTTAAATGGGGGCGAGCAGAAAACTATATAAATAGATATTGAGTTCATGTTCATTATTTTGTTGATAAAAGTTTTTACGGGTATTACACAACATTAAGTCTGCACCATTTGCTTACACATTAACCTGTCAAATTTTGTTATTTGATAAAAGTTGTTCTTAAATAGGGAGGGGGGAAGGATGAAAAGTTTAAAGAGGGGACATTGGTATAAGGGGGGGGGAGATGCTTAGCATACGAACAGCAGGATTGGAGGATCCCATTATAACTATAAGTGAATGGTTACTGTCCGCTTCACTTGAATAGTTATTCATTTATGCAGTGATTCTTACCTTTTTTCTTTATTATTTCTCTTTGACAAGAAGCGCCATTCCTGATATCTGGATGGAAGATGACAAACCATTAAGTGAAAGTGAACGATCCAGCAAAGAACATTATAGTCATTTAGAGGAAAAAAGAAAATCTGCATATGACAAAATACAGGGTGTACGGATCGTCAAAGTTACAAAAGATAACATAGTGAAAGATCTCATCGAACTGTACAAGGATCCCAGCATCAGTAATAGTCGCCTTCTAATGGAGATCGCAGGACAAGAAGACGCTGTTGGAAATGGAGTACTAAGAGAGGCGTACTCTTTATTTTGGGACAATTTGTTGGCGAACAATACCATGGGCGAAACCGAGTTCACAATTCCAATGGCACCTCATTTCACTTTTGAAGACTACGTAAGCATCGGGAGAATAATCACCCATCAATTTGTTCAATGTGGTGCTTTTCCTGTTAGAATTTCTCAAGCATCTATCACACAAGCACTGCTTGGCGATGTGTCCCCAGAGACGCTGATTTCTTCGTTTCTTAAACTCTTGCCTCCTAGAGAGAGAGAAATAATTGAGAAAGGTTTAAGTGATAGCACGGCGTTTTCCCAGGATGAAATAATGGAAATATTAGAAGATTACAACATCAACACGTTGCCGACTACTGCGAATTTAGCTTCCCTTATTACCCAAATAGGAAGAAATGAATTCGCACAGAAGCCTTATCTATGTCTGCTTAGGATTCGCCGAGGTATGGGCCCAATGTGGGACGGTGTGAGTGAGAAGGATATTGCATCTATATATAATCTTTGTCAACCAACAACACAACGTATCATTGACCAAATATATATGGTACATAAAGATCCCAAAGATGCTCAAATCATGAGATGGCTGCAACGGTATCTCAAAATATGTAGTGATGAAGCACTTGTCAACTTCCTCCGTTTCTGTACTGCGACTGATGTTATGCGACCGGAATGCTGCATTAAAGTATCCACCGAGTTCATGCCTCCAGCAGCCATTCGTCCTAAATCTCGCACTTGTTTTGGTATCATCGTTTTGCCAAGAAATTACACATCTTTTACGCAGCTTAGGAAGAACATGGACTTTTACCTTCGTAATCCAAATTTGTGGGACTTAAGTGATTAAGTGCTTAAGATTATGTGGCTTATCTAATGCTAAAAAGACTTAATACTTTATTCCTTTCGTGTAGTGAATTGCTTTATATTCCCACGAAAAGCGATTCCAGGAACAACATTCAAATTTGGTTGTTAATTGACTTTTGACATTTTGTTAATGAACGCCTATATAGATAGATGTAGACATAAGAATTTAATTAATAGGCATATATGTTGAGTTTATATGTGGAGAAACGCTGTGGCATAATCATCAGTAGAAGGTTAATATTATTGAGTGCGGGCTAAATAGTGGGGGGTGGCACATGGTTTATCATGTTTATATTCTTTTTTTGTACACTATATTAAAACAATGTTCAACGTTCAGTCCGTTCATAATAAAGACTGTCTTTACAAATAACATATAGTTTTTAAATTACATAATAACGTGTTTTCTTTTGTCAGATAAGAACGATGTTATGTTATCTTATATAACAATGATATGGTTAATACATCCATTAGCCAGATCTTTCCCGAATGTTAAACAAGATTGATATCTTGTATATGTCCGATTAGATTGATATATAACCGTTCAACCTTGTTGATATCAGTCCCTGGTGATTCGATGTTGTTCTCACTCATTATTATTTGAGCAAGTTCGGAAAACCTTTCCAAGGAAGCATATTGGGGAATTTCACAACATGTATCTTTCGCTACTACTAAATCCAGCGGGTCGACATCTTGTAAATATGACGTGGAATCGAATGCTTCAGGGATAAAGAAGATCGTGTCTGGGCATCCACTAGGCGATTGTTCATTTGTAGACTGATGAATCATATGCAAATTCCACTGTTGGGCTACGCGGTCCAACTCTTCTTTAAGGAGAGGCATATAACAAAACTTTAAGCATTCTACGTGTATGGGGTTGCTGTCATCATAAATTCCTTGATCTCGTAAATCGTCGAGATCTTGTGTTGTAAGTCGAGATCTCGTGTTATAAGTCGAGATCTCGTGTTATAAGTCGAGATCTCGTGTTGTAAGTCGAGATCTCGTGTTATAAGTCGAGATCTTGTGTTTATAAGTCGAGATCTCGTGTTTATAAGTCGATATCTGTATTGAAACGCATTAATTATACAACACCGTCATATTTGCGGGGACCGTGTGCAGAAAACGAACTACAACTATTCTATGTATCTAGTAAAGATGTGTGTGACGTTGAACACTCGGTTCCGTAAATTGTGTCAAAACGTTATTCGATCAAATCTTTATGTGGTCGACAATGTTTGTATGAGTATGGTGTCTATAGTTGCCCGAAAGTGGGTGGCGGTTGCGGTGTATGCTTTCACGAAAAGGATTCATTGACATTCATGCACACATGGACTGTGAATAAGGGGAAACCCCTAACTTTATACCCCCCTAGGATTTGTCACTTAAGAGCTGTAATAAAATATATATTTAATGAGATTACTATGCGTGGTCAATTATTTTATAAATGTCGTGCTGCAGCGAGTTGTTTGTTTGTTAAAGACATGGACTCAAAGGATTCTATAATACCATAAACGTTTTTTATTTGTATAACATTTTTATTAAAAAACATTAATTTTAATTACAAGAAAAGCATCCATAAATTACCACCTTGTTGTTTTTTCTTGTTGTCTTCGCCTTCTGGGGGTTAAAAAGGTTTTGATATAGTTTTTTGTTGTTGGGGGTAAAAAAGTTTTTTACAGTTTTTGTTTACCTCCTCGACGTCTTCTACGCCGTCGTGGTGCGGGGTTATAATAATCGTGTTGGGGAGGTTGATAGTAATAGGGTTGTTGTGGACGGTGGTACATTAAACGATGATTGGCGTTCATATTATTTGATTGTCGTTGATTGACATCTAATGTCGTGCTGCAGGGAGTTGTTTGTTTGTTAAAGACATGGACTCAAAGGATTCTATAATACCGTAAACGTTTTTTATTTGTATAATATTTTTATTAAAAAACATTAATTTTAATTACAAGAAAAGCATCCATAAATTACCACCTTGTTGTTTTTTCTTGCTGTCTTCGCCTTCTAGAGGTTAAAAAGGTTTTGATATAGTTTTTTGTTGTTGGGGGTAAAAAAGTTTTTTACAGTTTTTGTTTACCTCCTCGACGTCTTCTACGCCGTCGTGGTGCGGGGTTATAATAATCGTGTTGGGGAGGTTGATAGTAATAGGGTTGTTGTGGACGGTGGTACATTAAACGATGATTGGCGTTCATATTATTTGATTGTCGTTGATTGACATCTAATGTCGTGCTGCAGGGAGTTGTTTGTTTGTTAAAGACATGGACTCAAAGGATTCTATAATACCGTAAACGTTTTTTATTTGTATAATATTTTTATTAAAAAACATTAATTTTAATTACAAGAAAAGCATCCATAAATTACCACCTTGTTGTTTTTTCTTGCTGTCTTCGCCTTCTAGAGGTTAAAAAGGTTTTGATATAGTTTTTTGTTGTTGGGGGTAAAAAAGTTTTTTACAGTTTTTGTTTACCTCCTCGACGTCTTCTACGCCGTCGTGGTGCGGGGTTATAATAATCGTATTGGGGAGGTTGATAGTAATAGGGTTGTTGTGGACGGTGGTACATTAAACGACGATTGGCGTTCATATTATTTGATTGTCGTTGATTGACATTTAGATTAATGGGTTGTGATTTTTGTGATTTTTTTCCACCTCCAAATAACCTGCCTAAGTTTAAGAATCCACCATCCTGTTTTTTTTTTCCTCGTTGATATTTACTCCCCTTAAAATTTGCCCCATATTGATAATATCGTTTTCGCGTTTGTGAAACCATCGTAATAACGTGTGGTTGTAACTGAATTTTTTTTTAAAAAGTTATGCCCTTATATGGTCAACGGTTAAGGGTTATATTTTTGAAAAATGAAATTTTTTTTAAAATGTCGAAACGTTTGTTAAGGGTTGTGTCTAACGATGAAGTTTACCCGATATATTGGTGTTTTTCAAGATTAATATATTGTCATGTAGATAGTATACGTTTTGAGGTGGAATACCGTTTGAGAAGTGGTAGACGTTTAAAATGCGAAGTGCAAAAACATTTACATTCAGCAAATTTTAATATTATTGTTCCTTCGTCACAATGGATTGAAGTCAATGGTGATGATGATGCAAGTTTAAAACATAGGCTGGAAATTTTTTTCAAAGAGTGTGATTATACATTTTTACACTATCGAAATACAATTGATTATTTACAAACGGACATTGGTTATTATCTGGCAAAATATCACGGTATTGTGATTGAGGATGATTTAATATGGTACGCGTTGTTTTCAACACCGTATTCGGGCTATAAGTCAAAATTTAACTAACCTAAAATATAAAAAACAATATGACTACAGATATTTAACGGGTGATGATGATGATGAATGTTCATAAAATTTATAGATTAGAGGAACAACAACATCGGGGTAAAACAACTATCATTTACAAGGGGCGGTTGCTTCGTTTTACGCGGGTATTACGGAGTTGGAAGTTAAACAAATGCTATTTTTTTACATTATATTATAATAACACTGTAATTTTAGGAACCACTAGTTTAAAATTGAATTGGCGTTATAACGATGACGATTTAGCATTTATTCTTTTAGATAATGTCGAAGACCAAATAAGGTCTTTTAGAAGGTCATTAGTTTGCATGTGTGTACATGCTTTATATAGACATTCTTTAACCTGTGATACAATAGTAGATATTGTTAGTAAAATATGTGTGGAATATAGTACGATATTAATGTATAACGTTATATATAACAAACGGCATGTCTGCTGTACAAGGATAAAATATATCATATCGATTATTATTTTGATATTTTGAAAATAAATGAGAAGGATTATGTATTTTATCGTGGCTTTACAAAGGGTGTATTTCATGACGTATTTTCAATTTTACCTGAAAAATTAGCGGGTACAACTGTTTATACGGGGGGGTTGCGTTTTGTATACAGAAAGAGAATTCTTTGGTATGCTTAAAGCGTTGATTTTAAAGACAAACGGTGAAACTTTGGAGAAATTTAGGGAAACAATTGCACCGTGTATATTTGAGGAATATGTTAAACAGAGTATATATCTACAACCGGGTATATTCAAATTCCTAGAAGATATTATTACGAAAAAACTGCAACTGTTTGAAGACTATGGCTTTTGAAAGAAAACGTGCTAAGTTATGTTTTGAAAAACAAAAGGAAAAAAATATATGCTAACAAAGAAATATTTTACCGTGCTTTATCGCGATATTTTTTATCATTGTGAATTTATTGTAAAAGCGGACATGACAAGAAGATATGCGACGTTCTACGACGTAATACTTATCTGGTCTGCTGGTGGTGGTGGTGAAAAAGGAGTAACGTATAAGGAGCGTTTTATTTTAGATCTTGCAATAATACGAGTAATTTTCTTATTTATATAATGCATCAATATGGACGGGTGTTATGCAGAAAATAAAGATGTTATTAAACAACAACTTTTAAAATGGGATATTTTTATGGACGATAGTATCATACCTCTACTTATATATATGCATGTTTACCATGTTACAACAACAATGTAATAATGAGTTACGTTACAGAACATTGGTGTGGGATGGGTGAAATTGAAAGTGTGCTTATAAAAGAAAATTTTGATGTAGAATTAGATAGATATATAAAAATATATTTTTCGAAGTTTTGTAAATTGTTTAAAACAAAGAAGGCATTTGAGGTATGCGATTTAATGTTGGTTTTATTTCAAGGTAATGATTTTTAAAATATTTCCGGTTGTTTTAAACTATTAGTTACCGCATATACCCTTGTGTCTATATATGGTCATATAGATTTTTCCAGTTTGGAAAATAAATATTTTTTTTAAGACAAATGACAAATATTCGAAATAAAGTGTGTCGACATATTCAAGGTGTTATAGCTAAGGAATTTTTGTTAAACACCGCTTTGTTTGCGGGCACGTTATATACAGCATATAAATTGTGGTGAAGACACGCCAATATATTTCATTCCAAGATGGCACAAAATACAGAAGAAAGTCGCCCGTTAGAATTATATGAGAAACGGAATGCTACCCATGTTAAAGAATTGGGTAGTTACGAGAACAGAACAAAAAAAATGTTGTGGTATGAGCGATTCAATGAAAAATGTCACATCGCTTCAGCATTACCCACACAAGGGGCTGATAAGAATTTATATAAAATGAAATTCAGCATGAGCCATGAAGAGCTACGCCTTGTCCAAGAATGTCTTAAACAGGCAAAGAAAGGTGGTAAGCATTATTTTCTCATATCAGAAAGTGAAGATTATCAAAAGAGTCTGGTGTGTTTGGTGTTGAAAGATAGCAAGTTTCAGGGGCTGGTATTGTGTCGGTTAAACGCTGTAAAACCGTTGGATGTGGTCGAGGGTGATGTTCCCGAGGGTGATGAAGAAGATAGCGGTGTGGTGGTGCCCCCGACCGATGGGTACACTGTTCGAACCCGAGTTGGATTGGGTTGAAGCTTGGGCAAAATGCTATTTTTTGAAAAATGAAGATTGGCAACATGTGTGCAAAGTAATCAATGAATTTCTGTTGGATGTTCAACACGCGATGGATGTTGATGATGAATCGGTTATTCCCTCTACACCACCACCACCGGTAAATAAAAAAAAAAACCTCTCTACCACTTTTGCCACTACCAAATCCGTCACATCGAAGGCTACCACATCGAAGGCTACCACATCAAAAAACCCGTCGAAACCGACCAAGCGTAAGCGTATTGTCGATGACTTATCTGATGAGGTAAATTATAGTGAATTGTATTATTCTGCGCGTCAATTAGAACAAAAACTAGAGTTTGGTTTAACGATGAGCAATACAATTAAGCGTGTATTAATGTATATGCTAAAGTATGGTGAAACGTTTGATAACGCTTTACATTTGTATAATACAAATGGGGAAAATAGTATTTTAATAGAATTCAGGAGTGAAATAGAAACTGCAAGGGATAAGTTACTTAGGATATTTAACGTGTCTGAATTGACTTTAGATGGTTTTTTGGAAACTGTTCTTTCATGCTGGTAATTTTTTTTTTAGTCACGAAAAGCTATATCGGTTATTATAGCTGTTATGTATCGTGATAAAATTCCCGCAAAACAAGCAGTTCTCAGTTATAAAGATGAGATGAATGAAGAGTTTCCACATGACTATCTACAGCTGATAAAAGACGGCGGTGATTTAGATGTAGATGATATGTACGCTGAAATGATTGATAAAAATATGTTACATTAATTTTTTTGTAGTAATCATGGGAAAACAAGCTTGAAAGACAAATAACAAAGAATTAATTAAAAAGACATCACGATTATTAAAACATGAACGTTTAAATGAAAAAGAAAAAGAAGCATATACGTTACACAGTCGTAAACTGGTAAAATATAAACGCTTAAATATTAACATTTATGAACGTAATACTATGAAGCGCCATTTGTGACAAAATACCAGCAATAATGTGTATAGAAAAATTAAATTTATGTATCAAAAGTTCATATTTTTATGGTTAAAATGCAAAAACAAATGTATCAGAGTTTCTTTATGTATCAAAAGTTCATATATTTATGGTTAAAATACAAAACAAATGTATCAGAGTTTCTTTATAAAAGTACAGCAGAGAACGGTCAGCAGTCTCTAACGTATAAAAGTTGCAACACTTTATGTTGTACAAATATAATGGTCTATTTTCGCCATTTTCGCGCCATAATTGCAAGAAGATCCAACATGGCGGATCAAAACAATTCGAGCAATTCGCTCGGTTCTTCTGGTTTTTCTATTGAACAACTGGTAAACGGAGTTTTATTGCATCCACAATTTCGTCACGTTGTCAGCAACATAACATGACTTCCTCCCAGAATTCAACTTCAAGTGTCACATCGACAACAACTAATAAATGGTCCATCGACTCCCACAGCTGGTCAATCTACTCCCCCTGTATTAACCCATTCGAGCGCGACGACGAGTCATGTCGGTAATCAAAATCAAAGTCCGGCTGAGGAATTGAGGGCTATTTTTCGACGTGGAACATCTTCCCAGCAACAGCAAAATATAAATGCAACTATTCCTCGTTTTAATAGTAGATTTTCTTACCAGCCGAGAGGCCGCCGCAATGCAACTCGTAGACTGAATAGCAACGAAGGGAAACAGAAGACAACTGGAAAACGCTGCGGTCAAACTCCAGCCAAACAATCTTTTTGCCGAGAAGTTGTGTTATTAAGGAGTCCAGACGACACCAAGGGTGTTCGTGGTCATAGTAAAGCAGCATTGCACAGAGCTGGGAATGTCATCAGTGCATTTAAATTTGAAAAGAGTTGGTGTTTTTCTACGGTCTGCGAAGAGCTCAATAAAGCATTTCCTCAGCTCGGGTGTATAAATACAATGCCAAAGTGAGTGATTGTATAAAATTATTAATAAGCTATTCCAATTAATATGTGTACCCCCCCCCCCTTATCGAGGAGACTGGAAATCCTCTGGTGTAAGTAGTTCCAGGCTGGAAATCCTCAGGTGTGGGCTGTTTTCAGTCTGGAAATCACCAGTTGTGGATAGTTTTCAGCCTGGAAATCTTCAGGTGTAGGCTGTTTTCACTCGGGCTGGAATCCCTCAGCATAAGCATATTTTCTGACTGGAATTCCTCAGGGTAAGCAAACTATCAACCTGGAATTCCTCATCATAAGCATATTATCTGACTGAAATTCCTCAGGGTAGGTATATTTAATATCTGACCGGAATTCTTCAGAGTAAGGATATTATATTATCAGGCTGGAGTTCCTCAGGGTAGGCATATTATCAGGCTGAAATTCCTCAGGGGCAAAAGCGCTGGGGACTATGTCCTTGATAGGTGGGGGGGGGGGGGCAGATATTAAATGGAATAACCCAATATATAAAAATAGTGCCTTTTGATAGTGAATTTTACATTTGTCTGGTATTAAATAAGTCTTTCTCTAAACTTAAAATGTGTGAAATTCAGTGTCTTGCAAACCCAAAATAGAGTTAACCTAGTAATGAGTGGCAGCACTCTACACTTGAACCCATTATTTGAATGGCAGCACTCCACTTGACGAGTAAAATCGTCTGGTGTTAGACAGAGTAAAATACTAAAGTAGGGCACATCGGGGTGCATTGCCACATAACAGGTTAATATACACAATAAAAAGCATATACATGCATATATATATATGTTTGCGATGTTACTCTGAGTGCATATCCACACCGGGCGAGCTTGAAAAATATACCCGGCCACGGTGGGATTCGAACCTATGACCTTTGGAATACTAGCCCAATGCTCTTCCAACTGAGCTACGCTAGCCTGCGAGCAGGCTCTCTGGGGAAAGAGAGCCTGCAAGGATCCCTATGATGATTCGGTGCATGCGTCCAATATTTGGACGCAGTGCTCTGATTGGTTGATAACTGATTCATATGAAGTGATTGACAAGCTTCCATAAACTTGCACTTCCTGTTTGTAAAACCGACCAACGCAAAGCTTCGGAATTGCGGCAATGTTAATGTAGAGATAAAAGTGTCATGTATTTTGATCCTGGTTGACTTTTTACTGTAAATTAATATAGTATTCATATAAAGACGAATACTAAAAGCTTGCATGCTTTATTGTGTCCTTGGCTTGTCTGACTCCTAAGCTAAGAATAATTCTTGAGAAAGACTGCACAAATTCGCAAACCGAAACCTAGGGACAAGGCATTATATCGCTTCTCTTTTATGAAACAATATTGGGAATTCTGATAATATTCAGTGCATATTGTGTGTATTAAGCTTGTTTTACAATGTTATACTGACTATTTAATATTTATAAGTATGCGGCGTTAAAATGTACAGTAATTTACTCGTCACTTTGTTTACAATAATTATCACATGCATGTTTACTGCAATTCCACTTTTTGTTGCAAAATTTGAACTATAAACATATTATTAAATTATGTCCAATGTCCATGGTATATCATATATGTCTATGTCTCACCAAAGCCATAAATTTCAGTAAGTTATATTATTACTATATATATAGACTGTATACAGTGTATATTATATATTGCAGCACGAAGCAATTCCAAATAACTGAATTAGTTAGCGGGTAATATACAACTTTAAACTTACTGTGCCTACAGGAGAAACACATGCAGATTGTAATAAAAAGTACAACTTGATATATTACTCTGTAAAACCTCGAGCCGTTTTAACTTTTTTAGTATGCCACAGTGGCGGTCTGTATACGAAACTATTAACGAATTTGAAACGAATCGGTTTATGTTTACAATATCGTAGTGTATTCCGGTCTGTGCTGATTGGTTGTTATTAATTGACCTGTGACATCATAATTGAAGGGCGGCACGCAATCATCATAGGGATCCTTGCAGGCTCTCTTTCCCCAGAGAGCCTGCTACGCGGTCAGGACGGTTCGAGTAACTAGCGCGGTCAGGACGGTTCACTTACTCGAACCGTCCTGACCGCATAGCTCAGTTGGAAGAGCATTGGGCTAGTATTCCAAAGGTCGTAGGTTCGAATCCCACCGTGGCCGGGTATATTTTTCAAGCTCACCCGGTGTGGATATGCACTCAGAGTAACATCGCAAACATATTATTCACCTGAGTACACAACACCAACACAAAAAAAAATTCATATTACAAGAACACATTGGTATTGAAGGAACTAGATACTGTTCCGAAATATCACTTACTCGAACTGTCCTGACCGCGTAGCTCTGTTGGAAGAGCATTGGGCTAGTATTCCAAAGGTTGTAGGTTCGAATCCCACCGTGGCCGGGTATATTTTTCAAGCTTGCGCGGTGTGGATATGCACTCAGAGTAACATCACAAACAATATTCACCTGAGTACACAACACCAACACAAAAAAAAATAAATTCATATTACAAGAACACATTGGTATTGAAGGAACTAGATACTGTTCCGAAATATCACTTACTCGAACCGTCCTGACCGCGTAGCTCAGTTGGAAGAGCATTGGGCTAGAATTCCAAAGGTCGTAGGTTCGAATCCCACCGTGGCCGGGTATATTTTTCAAGCTCGTCCGGTGTGGATATGCACTCAGAGTAACATCACAAACATATTATTCACCTGAGTACACAACACCAACACAAAAAAAAATGTATATATATATTTTAAGACATGAACAATTAATTTAACCATAATTCTTGGATTTCATGTGATGTCATAGATTTGAGTGGGGGTAGCTTTAAATCGAGAAACAGTCATCAGAGTGAATTCATTGTCCACTGTATGTGTTGGCCTTGTGTTTGGTGGCAAATAAGTGAAATTTTGTATCTCAATACATTTGAGGTCGAATCTAGTTCCTTCATTATCAATGTAATCTAGTATAATCATGATTTTTTGTGTGTGTGTTTAATGTACTCAGGTGAATATGGTGCTTGTGATGTTGCTCTGAGTGTATATCCCCACTGGGCTAGCTTGAAAGATATGCCTAGCCATGCATATTAATATAACAAATAAGCTGTTGTTGAATTGCAGATTTCAGATTATGATGGGTGTGGGAAACGAGCTAGTTAAACCGCAACTTGCAGCTGGTGAAGAGTTAACTGGTGGAAATATCAATAAAATATTCACCCAAAGATCAGTTTGGATTTTGCCATCTGAGAAACTTGATGATTTATGCAAAGATTAGGTATAGTACTACATCAGTTTGTTTCCTAAATTAAGACTATGTATTAGTATTAATTGTTGAAAGTTGTTTAAAATTAACAGCCGTTCCGCACGTAACCAATTAATTGTAGTTGTAAAGACATTGTATACAATAAAGTATTCAGTTGAAATATGTCTACATACAATTACAATAACCCTAATCCAAATGCTAACCCAAAGCCTAACCCTAAAGTTGATAACTTTTTTTTCAATGTATGCAATAAAGTATTAATTGGGTTGTAATGGGTCTACCATTACAGTGACCATAATCCAAATGCTAAACGTAACCACTGATCCTCCGGTTGATGACCTTTTCTTTTGGTCAGAGATGGATTTTCATATTTTTGTTCGGGGGGTGGATAAATATCTGGGGGGTACTGCTGCTTGCTTTGGCCGGGGCGTGGTGGCAACACCCGGAAAAGCCAAGGAAAAAGTTTAACAAAATCTGATTTCTAGGCCTGCATGGCGAGATCTGAGACCATAATATTGGTAATTTTACAGATTTAGTAGTAAGAATAATCAAATATGAAACTATCAAATCAAAATAGATATAATTTACGGAGGTGCAAAAACTTTTGGGGTCGGTGCCAAATGCCTCTGGGGGGTGCAAATAATTTCTGGGGAGTGCGCACCACCCTGCACCCCCCAGCAAATCTGTGCTTGCGTTTGGTAATTTCCCCACCTCGGCCTGACCTACCTCCTTTTTAGGGCCATTACATTTATAACTAAAACTTTTGTCCAATGCTTGTAATTCTGCCTTCAGTTACAACACAATACTTTATTGCATACAATGGCTGTGCTGTACAACTGCAATGGATCATTGCATGGTTGCAATGTGCGGCAGAACAGGTGAAATTAAGGCATAGTCTAATTTAAAAAACTTCTACTTAAGAAATATTTCTTTTAAAAACCTTATCCTGAAACCCATCCCTTTTAGAACTTTAGAATTGCAGCTATTTTTCGATGCTGTGCTCTATTTTATGAGTATCATCGCAGCATTTTCCTTGCTTATAGTACCTTCTAGTTATGTTGATATTTGATTACAATACTTCACAGATTATTCAATCCAGTTCCAGTGAAGATGAGATGATAGCAAGCACATCTTACTATGACATAAGAGACTTAATAGAAGGTGCTACAGAGACCGCTCATTCATCCACGGAGAAGGCGCCTTCGTCTACAGAGAATGCATCTTTGTCCATGGAGAAGGCGTCTTCGCCTTCTGAGATGGTTTCTTCCTCAGAGATGGCTTCTTCCTTATCCAATTCTTCTGAATGTTGTGCAAGTGATGTGCAAATGCTCAGAGATGTTTTTCCCAACATAGATCGTCAGAAAATTTCAGACACTCTTGTGACTTCTGGTATGGATTTGGAAAAGGCAATTAATAAGATTCTCAGTGAATCAGGTACTGTATACATGCATAGAGCATACTTTTACTGCATTGCATTTTTGATGATCGTCATCATCAAATTACAATAGAGTTGTGAATATAATATGGCCATAATAATAATAATAATATTTCAATTCAATTCAATAGACAATCAGTTGTTTCAAATAGTTAACAAGTCCGGACTTTCCCATTCCTTATTTCGATGGCAGAAAATGTAATAAGTACTTCGAATGGCAATAGTCATTTCCTAACATTTCTAAGAATGTATTATTACTTTACATTAAGTTTTACATTAAGTTTTATATTACATTATATATACAGTAATATATATATATATACAGTAATATATATATATATATATATATATATATATATATATATATATATATATATATATATATATATATATATATATATATATATATATATATAATCATTTATGAAGAAATAAGACATAATTGTACTGGTACTCATTTGTTCAATCTTTGTATTTCCTTGTTATAGCTTCGGAAGAAGCTGAACGTAGTCATGAAGATAACAGTGATGATCCAGAGCTGGTACAGCAACTGGATGAGCCACTGTCTCATAGATTTTTTTATGATGATGAAGATGGGTTGCAATCTCTTCAAAATTTTATTTCCAAAGCAGTTAATCCTTTTGGTCAGGAACTGGATATGTGCCTTGACAGGAACAAGGACATATTGGAACAAGCAGTAAGAAAGTACAAACATCCATCATTTGATACGACAAGGCCCCTCAACGTTGCATTTCAAGATGAGCCAGGAGTTGATGCTGGCGGGGTGACAAGAGAGTATTTTTCTCTCTTAATGTGGAGGTTGGAGAACCAAACTGGTGCCCTTAAGTTGTTTGAGGGTACAAGTGGACATCTGGTTACAATGTATAATTATGATTACCTGTCAGGAGGGTTATTTGTTATGGTTGGAAAGATGATCTTGCATGCTATTCTAAATAAATGCAATGGCATGGCAGGATTATCTCGAGCAGCAGTTGCATACATCATCAGTGGCAGTCGTGATGCAGCTGTAGAACATATTGTGTTGGATGATATTCCTGACCCAGTGATGCAGGATCAATTGCGGCAGGTATATGGGCATAGAAAATGTAAATGGTTGTTTAGTATGCATGCCTAAGCTGTGTGGATTGATGTAGTTCCATCGTACTGAAAACTGTCATAAAGTCACACACACGAACAAATAAAACTTGTCAATGAAAACTTGTTTGTGTGTACCGGACGTAAAGGTACTATTAACTTTTGAATGAAAAGACTAAAAGAGTGCGCACTGGTCATTCTACAGTCTTTAGTTTGTTCGAACATGGATAATAAAATAAATTATCCATGGTTCGAATAGATGAATAGAATTGTCAAGTTAGTAAAGCCGGTTAGTGTGAGGGCATTATTTTAAAATGTGTTTGTCTCTTGAACAGCTGGATCGGTCTACGAATGAACAGCTCAGCCAATTTACTACAACCGACAGCTCACTTGACTTAACCGATCTTTTGATGGCCGCTGGGTTCCCACACATTACTGTAAGTCCAGAACGACAGCACTTGGCATATGAATGTTGTCTATTTTACGAAGTGATCACAAAAAGAATAGCAGCACTTGATGACATCAGAAAAGGTTTGCAGAGTGTGAAAGTTATGGGCAACACAGCATTAGTCCTTCTCTCAAAATGGCCTGAATTAAAAGATAAGTTCTTTCCTAAAGCACAGTTTGAGGCAGTAGATGCAGCCGCACTGATCTCGCGTATCTTCTATGTCATGGGTGATGTCCATGCAAACCACGAAGTACGAGCATTCTTTGAGAGATATATCAATGAAGTAGCAGCCAGAGATGGTAAGTTATATTTTCTAGTTTATACTCTTTCCCAATGCCTTTTCTGACACATGGCATTTCTTAAATGATGCATGATTATCTTGGATAACATAGTGTATAATATTAGACCATTATTAGTATAGGAATTGGCTAGGAAATATTAACCAACATACCATTTCGATAATTACGTCATTTGGCGTGGGAGCCAGTCGCTCTCATGTATTGTGAGCCAATCAGCTTGCATAATTTACCAATGAGAGTCATGCTCCAAGATCAAAACGTATGTGTGACCTAATTATCGAAATGGTGTATTGAGTGGCTATGCACCCTATTTTATACTTTTATTCTATATACAGTACTGCCAAGAAATAACTTATCAAAAACCGCGTCCAAGACGCGAGTATCTTGCGTCCACTGTGCATCCACGGGCGCCCGCGGGTGCGTCCGTCCTGCGGGCGCCGTGCGTCCATCGTGCATCCACTGTGCGTCTGCGGGCGCTTGCGGGTGCGTCCACTGTGCGGGCGCCGTGCGTCCGCTTTGCGTCTGCGGGCGAGGACGCAGCTGAGAAAGAGTTCTATTCGTAGATCATCGGAAATTATCGTGTTTCGCTTTTCATAAACAAACTATGGGCGTCGGAAAATATTCATGTTAGCGATTTCACACCACGTTTTTTATGCTTATACACCAGCGTTACAGACCTAGAATCCTAGATATTTATATTTCTAATATTAAACTTACCATGAATTTTCAGAATTTGTGCTTCGTAAAGTTCCTTTTCGTATTTGATCTCTACTTTCGCACCTTCGTATAACGTTTGGTTTAAACCCAGTAATCTTTTAACGTTGCCGGTTGGCAAAATGCACATATGGTTTTATATCTTCTTCGAAGAAACCCAAAATACGTTGACAAGTAACCGATCGATACCTCATTTTATTAGTCTGATAGTAATACGAATCGAGTGATATTAGTCTGAGCTCTTCACTTCAGCTTTAGCGAATTATACTGCAACTTTGAAAATCAAGCGATGAGTCACAGTCATTGAACCGTGTTGAAACACAAAGACTGTTTCCTGGACATGTAAAGGTATTCCATTAAGGGATTAAGAAAAGTCATTTATCCAGAAATTATATGGTAATTATCAATTTATATGACATCTCACCATGTGCATTTGCTGCTTTGGAAAAACAACACAAACTTGTTGCTGTAAATAAAGTTATATAGTGGCTCGTAGTAATGGTATTTTATATGAAAAGTCAAAAGCACTATAAATATTGTAAATGAGCATCTTCGTTTTAATATCCTGACGAGTAACGGAGACATAACATTATTCAAATACAGAATTGCATATCAACTAATCGGTAATCTTCTACGAGGTAAGTCAGAATTTGAGTAGCAAATGAATATGTTGCGAGATATATACTCGTTGTATAGTCGTGATCTCACTGAGTTTAGTATATGTGTCTACATTATATTTATATATAGTTTATGTCTATTTTGCACTCCAATATACAGTCATATACGCTTCAATCGCCACTCAAGTACGTGTGATTGCATTGTGAAAGCACTACGCTTACTGTAGTATAACGTGTAACATTATAAAATGGTTATACTAAGTGTAACGCTTAGGTTCATGCAATGAAACTCTATTTCAGATTAAACTTTGTATTCTTTGCTTCTCCGATCAGCGACACACTGACACTGATCTGTATTCTCACGACAAACTACGAGTATGATGCAAATATTAGTTCGTTTTTCCGATTATGTTACGACGACTGCGTCCAAGCGGACGCAGTTTTTAACTGGAGGCCGGACGCGGGCGCTTTGGAGGCAGGACACGGGCAGAGTAGACGCAAGACGCGGGCGTCGTGGAGGCTGGACGCGGGCGCTCTGGAGGCAGGACTGGAGATAACTGGGAGGTTCGTTCAAAAAGATGTTCTTAGCAAACTGAATTGGCAACCACTAAACCAGATAAGATTGGTTAAGACACTCTTGTTTATGCGCAAAATTCTAAAAAAGGAAGTTCCTACATCAATATCAGACCAGTTTCACATTTCGGTAAACGATCAATACAATCTATGTAGTAATTTTACTATGTTGAAACTGGCAAAACCAAGAACAAATGCACTGAAGCGTAATTTTAGCTACCATGGTGCAAAAACTTGGAATAATTTGCCAACTGAATTGAAAAATCTCACGATCTCTGAGAGAGTTTTCAAAAATAAATTACAAGATTTCATTCGCGAAAATAATTCATTTTTGAACAATTTTTCAAGTTGCCAGTGACTGCTATAAAACATCTTTTTCAATAAACTGTTACTTAGAGTGTATGTTTTTGTGGGGTTTTTATGGAGTATTATAAATGTAATAATGTCTTGTTTATGCATGATATTTACTATAATTTAGTGCAATTGTTGTTCTACTGTTTAGCTTAAATTTCTACACGGCCTTATGAAAAGCAACCATTTTAATTATTTGAAACTTTATTACTATCAGAAAACTCTATATATTTTTAGTAAAAAATAGGTTGATAAGCTACCGTGTATAAAGAATTTTAAATAATAATAATAATAGGACACAGGCAGAGTGGACGCAAGACGCGGGCGCTCTGGAGGCAGGACGCGGGCAGACGCGGGGACAAGTTATTTCTTGGCAGTACTGTAACTCTTATAGTTATACTTTGTTAGGGATTTTTACACATTAGTGACATTACTATTAACAAGAAGTTAAATAAGTCTCAAGTCTACAGTGAAATACTAATTGTGAAAGTATAAACTATGGCATACCATTCTTCACATTTTACTTAATTCTTGCATGTACTTGGTTCCTATCTTAATTTTAGGTGACCAAGAGAAACTAACCGATCTGCTGCTGTTTTGGACAGCTTATCACACCCTACCTGCGGATGCCTCTGCAAAACTCACTGTCCAGTTCTTGCAGGAAGATCCGTCAAAGTTTTTTCCAGAGGCAAATACTTGTCCAATGGTGTTGTTATTGCCGACCATCCACAAGGAATTCCATGCCTTTAGAGTAGCTATGGACAAAGCTATCTCATTTGGGAAACGTGGCTTTGGAAAAATGTGAAGAAGGGGAAAACTTTTAAACCTTCAATATTATAACTGTTGTATTACAGTCACAATGTTTTGTTCAATTTTAAAGTTTGTTTTAGGGACCGGTCATAAAGTAATTACTAGAGGGGGCTGGAGGATAAATGAAATTTCAAGTACATATTTCCATGCCCTCCCAAAAACCTATGGAAAAATTTTCATAACCCCCTTCAATGTAAGTGAAAATTTTCATATCTTCTATCATTAATTCTGTTTTAACATTTGTCTTGCGTTTATCTATATTTTGAAACTCTCCTGTATGTGATAACTCTCCCACTTCTTGTAGTGGTAACCATATCCTCAACATTTTCCGCAGTCTCCGATTCGTCACCAGTCTTTTCTGATTCTGACGTACTAGCGATGGGCTGAGAGAAAGATCAAGCAGAAAAAATTGTTTTTGGTTTATTTCAAATAGAAAAATTTGCTTCCATTCATGTGACACTTCCTCATCAGGTTCATCAAGTTCTAATGCTGCTGTGAGCTTGATACTGAATCCCACTTATCATCTGACATTGAGTCAGACTAAAACATATGTCTTGTGTTGATTTAATAATTATAGTAAAGCAATTCTGTCCAAACTTAAATCTGGGCACAAATACATTCAATATTCAACAATAGTTATAAAATGTAATTTTTTTCCGTGCCTAGAGTACTAGGATTTTGGTACCCCCCTAGAGGTTCTGTTGTTTTTTTTCATACGCCCCTCAGAGGTTCTCTTTTTTTTCGTACCCCCCCCCCCCAAATATCCTTCACACCCCCTAGTAAATACTGTATGACCGGTCCCTTATTTGGATACCTTAGACATTTTAATGAGGACAGTATGGTTCCATTCTGCAATAATTCTAACAAACAATGAATATTTATAACGATTACATTTAGCAAGCTTTCGGTTTCTATATAGTTTATAATGTTTTGCTCTAGCATGCTCTTTGGCCAAAGAAAGCATCGCAATCAAGTTTTCTATTAATTTGAATTCTGAAATGCTGTCTTATAACATTCAATTAGAAATTTATAACATTCAATTAGAAATACGGCTCCTCCAGTTGCGCAGTGGTTAGAGCCCTCGCCTTTCACCTGTGAGTTGTGGGTTCGATACTCAGTAACGGAACTTCAACTTTCATGCGAAAAGAGCAAGTCAACGCTATGCCGGAAATCGTGGGTTTCCTCCAGGCACTCCGGTCTCCTTCCACATGGAAAGTAGACAGGCTGGCTTAGGATACATGCAATAATTAGGAACGTAATATCACAATTGATATAAAAATATAATAGTGTAGACGTGCGCATTTGATCATATCCAAATGTAAACTGTGGGAAACCTATCTTTTACACCCCCAAATCAGAACCAGACCAGTCTCTAAAAATTCCTATTGTCATGTTATATAAATTTATGCCATGATTATCATCATTAGCCAAAGGATCAACCAACATCTGCAGTTGATTCAGCTGTGCTTCGGTGAGTGTTAAATGTGTTTCTGGCACTTCAACAACATCATCGGCATCGATTTCAGGAATTGGTCCATCTCCATCAATGCCGTATTCATCCCAATCTTGGTTAGTATCGTCAAGAACACCTTGAACTTCTGAGTAGTTGGTGTTTGCTGCATGAAAGCCAGAATGCCAAAGTTGCAAGGGTGAGCGATTATTCATGGTACTCATTGGGTGATTGTTCCAACTGTTCATCAATTCAGCTAAGGCCCGGTTAATACGTGGGCAATAAACGTAATGCAATGTGCTATACATAGCAATTTCATCTAGTGGATCGAATAACTGACACTGCTCCAAATAATAAAAAATGTTTCTATAGTATGTTACAACGAGCTTTTTTACTTCCAGCCATAGTCTCTCAATCCGCTGGTTATGGACACTCCTCCCTGTAATCATGCTGCCTCTATTGACGCCTCGAGCAGGATGTTCTAACATGTACCTTGCAACAAAATAATTTTCTGTTCCATAATCTGATCGAACTCTAGATGGTAAACCAAAATTTCTCACTCCATTTATGAATAATGAAAGGACAGTGTCCGCTTTATTGTTGTTCGAGCATCTGAGAAATACTATGCACCTGCTAAACCCATCGATGCCTCCATGGATAACACACCTCCATCTTATCAACTTGTGGTGACCATCTATGTGCCTGTTGAATTTAAAAGGCATGATATTATACCAGTATTCTACAAGCAAATTAGTATTGGCACAAGTCATTGTCACATGAAATAGTATTCTTATAACACATATTCACATAATAACACCGCAAATAGATTAGTGCATGCTTACTCACCACAACGCATTGGGGCATCGAACATTGTATACTCGTCTTACAACTGCAAAAGTACGTCTTAAAGCTCGACTGATAGGATCTACAGTCTGGATTGCATTACGAACACGCCACCTCTGTATGTGGATGCCCCGACTCCTCAGTGCACCAATGACGTACGTTTCTCCAGCATCAGGAATAGTTCTTAAAATATCTCGCACTGCATTGCAAAGTTGTTCTTCACCAATTTCAGTGTAAGTATTTCGTGGACCAACCGTATTCGCAACCTGCAACCCATACTCACGTCTTCGTCGCAAAAGCGTTCTATATGACACGCCAGTTTGTCTGGAAACAATACTCCAGGAATTATGGAGGTTGTATAAATCCACTAAAGTATCAGGAGAAACATTTATTCTAGGCCTGCCCGGTTCATGTGTACGTTCCTCCGAAAACGATAGGTTTGAAGAAATCTCGGATGCATCGTCACCATCAAAATTGAAATCACAAAGTTCATTGTAACGTTCAAGACTATAGCGAACAGTGTGTGAAGAATCTCTCGCAACATCCCGACAATTTCGTTGCAAATATTTTGTTCGATACAATGCATGACGATAATACTTAATGCTGTATAGTAATCATGAAGACGTCGCTTTAAATATTCGACAATATTCATATTATCGTTATGAATGTGTCTTTCTGCCTGCTCCAAAAGAGCTGGTAAATCTAGCAAAAAAGCTTCCACAGAGTCCGCCATGTTTTCTGCATTATATTTGTACAACATGAAGTGTTGCAACTTTTATACGTTAGAGACTGCTGACCGTTCTCTGCTGTACTTTTATAAAGAAGCTCTGATACATTTGTTTTGCATTTTAACCATAAATATATGAACTTTTGATACATAAAGAAACTCTGATACATTTGTTTTTGCATTTTAACCATAAAAATATGAACTTTTGATACATAAATTTAATTTTTCTATACACATTATTGCTGGTATTTTGTCACAAATGGCGCTTCATACATGCATACTCATATGATCTTCAAGTTCAGTGGCGATTTCAAACTCGGCATTGCAGACACAACAGATATAACCAATACCAGTTGCTTCTCTTGCTTCTAATTCCTTACAGACATCACATTGGTAGGATGTACCATGGTCTTTGGCCTTGTGCTGATATAAACTTTCAATATCAGGGAACTGTTTGTCACATTTGTCACAGACAAAATGATCATCACTCAGTATCTCATTAGCATGTCCTTGACCTTGAATAATATCTCTGCCACAGGTGTGGCACAATAATAAGCCATCTCTCAAGTGTGATCTCCAGTGACGTTTGAAACTTTGTCGTTTTGTGAATGTTTTCTTGCAAACATCACATTCAAAACTCTCATTTCTCTTGTGTGCTGATATTTTATGTTGTGTTAACTTGTGTGATTCTTGAAAATCTCTTGTTGCAAATGTCACATTTTTATAGGTTTGTCTCAAGTATGCATACTTTTATGTCTACCTAAGGTGCTCGATTGTGAAAATCTCTTCTTACAAATCTTAGTCACCTAGCGACTCATAAGAGAACACACACTGGAGACAAACCTTATAAACGTGATGTTTGCAACAAAAGATTTTCGCTGTCAAGTCACTTAGCGGTTCATAAGAGAACACACACTGGAGAGAAACCTTATGAATGTGATGTTTGCAGCAAAAAATTTTCTGACGCAAGCACCCTAACTAAACATAAGAGAACACACATTGGAGACAAACCTTATGAATGTGATGAGTGCAAAAATCGTTTGTTGCAAACATCACATTCATAAGGTTTTTCTCCAGTGTGTGTTTTCTTATGAACACATAAATTGCTTGACTGCGAAAATCTTTTGTTGCAAACATCGCATTCATAAGGTTTCTCTCCAGTGTGTGTTCTTTTATGAACAGCTAAGACGTTGGAATGCGAAAATCTTTTGTGGCAAACATCACATTCATAAGGTTTCTCTCCAGTGTGTGTTCTTTTATGAATCGCTAAGTGACTTGAGTGTGAAAATCGTTTGTTGCAAACATCACATTCATAAGGTTTGTCTCCAATGTGTGTTCTCTTATGTTTAGTTAGGGTGCTTGCGTCAGAAAATCTTTTGCTGCAAACATCACATTCATAAGGTTTCTCTCCAGTGTGTGTTCTCTTATGAACCGCTAAGTGACTTGACAGCGAAAATCTTTTGTTGCAAACATCACATTCATAAGGTTTCTCTCCAGTGTGTGTTCTCTTATGAACCGTTAAGTGACTTGACAGCGAAAATCTTTTGTTGCAAACATCACATTTATAAGGTTTGTCTCCAGTGCCAGTGTGTGTTCTCTTATGAGCCGCTAGGTGACTTGAGTGCAAAAATCGTTTGTTGCAAACATCGCATTCATAAGGTTTTTCTGTAGTATGTGTTCTCTTATGTACAGTTAAATGACCTGACTTTGAAAATCTTTTGCTGCAAACACCACATTCATAAGGTTTCTCTCCAGTGTGTGTTCTTTTATGTACAGTTAAGTTTTCCGAGCATGAAAATCTCTTCTTACAAACATCACATTCATAAGGTTTATCTCCAGTATGTGTTTTTTTCATGGGTAGCCAAGTTGCTCGATTGTGAAATTCTTTTTTTGCAAACATCGCATTCATAAGGTTTCTCTCCAGTGTGTGTTCTTTCATGTCTAGTTAATGAGCTTGACTTTGAAAATCTTTTGTTGCAAACATCACATTCATAAGGTTTCTCTATAGTGTGTGTTCTTTTAGTTTTATGCATGTCTCACCAAATTTCCTTTCTTAGAAAATACCTTGTTAGAAACCTCGCATTTCCTAGACATGGTTTCAGCTTTTGATCTTTTCCCCGTACGGTTAAATATGGATAAAAATATCACCCAACTGTTCCCTCGAGTCGTTCTTTATTAAATCTTTATGACACTTTGGTTCTTACAGAATTTTTGATCATAAAAACGAAACGAGAATATTCGGAGACACAATTTGCAATCAACACGAGTATCAAAAATATGGCGCCCAGAAAGAATTCATGTGGTGTTTCCACTTCAGAAAAGCAAAATTTCGCAAGATTTCGCGACAGATACCGGAGATTAAAAGCAAAAACATAAACGAAAAAATAAATTAACTCATCCTCATGGTACAGGATGGATTCTTTTGAATAGAGGAAACTGATGCATCTTTCTCGCAGCGATTTGTTCTGCCAGGCATGTACTAAAAGACGAAACGTCGAAACGAAACGACCGAAACGAAACGGCCGAAACCATCGAAAACACCGAATCGAAACGACCGAAACGAAACGGCCGAAAATGTAAATTACAGGAAAAATGGAAAATATTAAAATATGCAATTTACGGGAAATGTTATTGACGACTCACTTGAACGGCTCGCGGAACTTGCTGAGCACGCGCAGTTGATCATTTCTTTGCCCAGTCGCCTGAAAAAAAGTGGGTACATGAGAACGTAAGCTTCCGCAGTGTTTACGACGATCAGTTACAGCTCTGTATGTCTCTACTCTGTGACAAGATTGAACACACCCATGCCATAATGATATTAACGTTATACAATAATACTAATACTCTAGAGCTGTCTGTGATAAACTTTAGATGATGTTGCAGGTGAAACGCAAAGTTTTAAAAAATTAGTATTAAATCCCTCGTTGCGTTCCATAGACATAGTATGTTCTCAATTTCTCATGTTCTGTTCACTTCAAGTTCACCTACTCAAAGTACGTCTGTTAGAACATTTGAAACTTTTTGTTACTGTAATGGTGTCATAATTGGTAGTATGTATATGTTGGTTATTGTTGATATTAACAAGCAAGTTGGTTTCCTATGACGAGTGTCGAGTGTATGATGTATTAGGGTGTATTATGTAGTAACTAGTAAGGAGAATATATATGTACATGTACAAGGAAACAAGACACGGAACTACCTACGAAATATGTGTGCTTCCGAACCAAACAATACATTAAGAATGCACGTGCTCCGAAATTAATATAAAATTAGGTTAAACTATAAACTAAATAAACATTCGTTCTTACTGCCAAACTTGCAAGCCCCCCTCCCGGAAAAGATCGACCCTGTAACATGATCTTCCTGGACTGCTGATAAGCCTGGCTGATATACAAAACAAAATTAAAATTTACGTCACTGGCCCTTAGCAGAGGCGCTTAGTAATGTTACATAATACTAACCTATGCAGAAGGTCATCTCTATTGTCTTTTACGTATTAAGCACTTTTGTCATCGATTCGCCAATCAGGAAGCATTCATCCCCTGGAAATACCGAAGGAGGCGATGACGTCAGGGGGTGACTGCTTCTGTCTAAGGCACTTGCCGAGGTGCGGATCGATGACGAATAGCGCATACGCAAAAAAAAAAACGATACAGATGACTTTCTGAATAGCTTAGTATTCTGTTTGGTATGTTAGATTATATATGAATATGCATATTGGTGAGGGATTTGGTTCGTACGACAACGAAAGAAGTTGTGTTGGTATGTAACAATACAAAATTAAGTGAATATAGGTTAATTCGTGGTTTGCGATTTTTAAATATTACTTTCGAAGCATCGCTAAACCGCGAACAAATATAAGCGTCGCAAACAAGTGAGTCTAACGTTCCTGCGGAAAGAATAAATAATAAAAATCGCACAAATGAGCAGATCGTGAAATAATTAGTTAATCCAACAAGTATATGATGATAATTATTTAGCGAAGAATACGCAGGGATATATTCACAGCAGGGAAGATTATTTTATTTTTCAGAGCGTATATTGTGAATGTTTTCTACGTTTTAGCGCTTAGATATGTCCTTTAATTTAGCTAGACAACAGTGAAATGTCATGTTTTCATATAAATTCTCGGAATATTTCTAATATTAAAATCTACGAATTCGAATTCAGAGAATTTCACGGACTGTAATTTTATCCTATTAAATTAAACTAACCGCAATCTTATTAGCTCTTCTCACAGTTAACCTTTAATCATCTAGTTTCTATGAGTTGATATACATTTTCTTGATAACAATATGCTTCCTTTATCGGCTTAAAATTAATATTGTAGTTTCCATCTACAAACCCTCCAACTATTGTTCAATCGAGTGAGATGCCAACAAAATCTTGATATTTACCCATAACCTAACATGGCAGTACCTATACAGTACAGTATATATATACACGAACTTGTGGTTAAAACTCGATAACTGGACTCTGCAGCTCGTGGTTAGAGCGCTGCACCGGAATCGCAGAGCCGCAGGTTCAATATTCCTGCCATGGACCTATAGTTGCATTTTTCGCCGTTCCTGGTTATGTCCAATAAATGTATATAAATTTACACTCGATAATGTCCACCCACAAACCCTTCAACTATTGTTCAATCGAGTGAGATGCCAACAAAATCTTGATATATATCAAAAGAGATTAATGAAGCAATTATATAGGGAAATCGGTTTTTGTGAAATCGAAATTGTAAAGGTCTCGGTACAACTTTTTAGTGATGTTAAAACTTCCATCACGTTTTACAACAATCCAGTGTAATAATTTAAAACTAGAATATACATGCATGCAGAAACCCTCGCCTTGCTGACAAAAACATTGCGGTATTTTCCGAACATGAAGTATCTAAAGTAGTTGTCATGGTAACACGATAATTTTTTAAGAATATTCTTACAAATGAAAAATCGCCTAAAAATATCACTTTTAATTACAAAATTATCAATTTCTCAACATATATATGTTAGGCATGATATTATATGTAATATAAGCTTCAATTTAAGGTAAAATTCAACCACAAACGCTTCGCAAAACGTTTTAAAGTGTTCTTTTTAAAACTAAACTGCCTTTAATTAAATGGCTTTATCGATAAACTTTGAGTTTGCAATAAAATGATTTCAAATTCTTGCTTGCAAATAACTTTGCTTTCTTTTTTATTTAAAAAATTCAATGTCATAAAAAAGGGAATCAATATTAAAGATACACTGAAAGTCTGAAATTATATCATTGCTGTCTTGTTTAGTTGTTTCATATACGCAAAGCCGACAAAAGCCGTCGAGTTTTAAAACCATTAAATCAATATTTAAAACAAACTTACCTTCGTTAACGTCGGCTCCCTTCTTTTAGCCGATTCTTTCGCAGTTTCTTTACGAGGGAGCTTTTGAAATTTACAAAATCTTGCAAAAATGCGAGCAAAAATGAAATATATTTGCAAGAAATTTATCAATCATCAAATCAAGAAATATTTGCTATTTCGCTGTCGTCATGAAGTCAAATTGGACCAATCAGTGTCCGCAATTCATGACAGTCCGCCATATTTTTGAGATCAGTGAGGATGACCACCCACCGAAACATCGTTGGTGAGCCACGCCCGCGATATTTGATGAACTTTAGACTTCGCTAATGCTTTCGTTTCCCCGGGTGTAAATAGCCGGGGGGAATTAGTACCCTCGCACGGCGCTTCGCGCCGTCGGCTCGGGGATTAGGTTTTTTATCCAAGCATAGTTTATAGGTATACGAGTTAAGTTTTCACTATTATGCGATGTCAATGTTTCGTCATTATTTATTTTACTCCTAAATTAACTACTAAGTACGATGAATCTATTTTCGCGAAATCACAAGGTGTTATAAACACAATTTTTCCCGGCTGAAATCACATTCAGTATATTTTTGTTATAGCTTACTCTGATCTACAGATCAGATTGGCAAATTCAAAGAACAACAGAACAGGAAGAGTCGAAATATATCCTCCTTCTTTCGGATGGGGAACTGTATGTAGTTACGTGGACTGGACTGATAAGGAAAGTGGCGTTGTCTGTCGACAGTAGAGAGTTTGGGAACGCGACGGGAAGTGGCGACGGCGACTTGGGACTTGCATAATTTTACATAATTATCATAATTAAGTCACGAATATACGTTGTCTGGACGTTGGCGTTCTCCCGACAACGCCAGTTTGAGTGATTTGGCGTTGTGCTGACAACGTCTGGTTTTTGTGCCTTTTTCTGCATGATGGCCGAAACGAACAAGCAAAGGTAAGCTTTTTTACGTAAACGATATTCTATTTAACCAACTTTCGGTAATTTAACTCAAGTTTTATGTTGTTTAGCAGTAAATCTCAAGTCATGATCAAAGCGATGAAGTGGACTGATCAACATGACCTCGAGTTGATTAAAGAAATTTTAACAGAACGTCCTTTTGATAATCCTAAAGGTTCGAGGCGAATAGGACTAGTTTGGGAAAGAATCGTCGACAATTTAAATTCAAGAGCAGATATAGTCTTCAACTTGAAGGACATCAGGGCTGTACGCGATCGCTATAACTTGTTAGCAAAAAAATACAAAAAGAAGGAGAGACAGGAAATTAATGCTTCGGGCATTGGCACCGATGAGCCAAGTGAGCTTGAAGACGCCATTGAGGAAGCTGTTGCTCTTTTTGAGAGTCAAGAAGAGGGACGAGAAAAGGAAAAAACTGCTAAAGATGAGGACAGAAGTCAAGCAGAAGATGCCAGACTGGTCGCACTTGAAACTGCTCGAGAAACAGCAAAAAGAAAAGCATCAGGAAACGATTCGTTCAGAGCCAAGAAAACAGCTATTGTAGAATTTCTAAGAGATAAAGCGAATCAGGATATTGAGTATAGAAATAAAGAGCTTGAACATAAAACTAAAGAACTGGAAGTTCGAAAGCAAAAGCTAGCAATAAGGAGCAAGGAGCTTGAAGCACAAACTCAATAAAATCAAAACTTGTTGAACACTTTGCTTGAATTTGCAAAAAATCGTTAACTGTACAAGAACTGTAAGTACATTCCTTTATGTGTTTGACCATTCTTCATGTTTATTGAATACGGGCAGGCTACTTCTGGCCTTTGAATTTTGTTTGGATATTTTACAGGACAAGTTGCATGCTATACTTTATTATATTAATATTTTTATAGTTGTATATGTAAATTGAAAATAAAAGTTATTGGTTCAGAAAATTTAATTTTGAATTACTTTTGATTCTGGTTGTATGGATCCAATTTATAAACAATAATTATATCTTTCACGCAAATGCAATGTTACTATACTGTTGTCTTGCAATATACTATGTTTCATAGAGTATTATCATTAATTACATGTGGACACTATGCATCAGCTCTCCAGAAGTAGTTTTCCAGTGTTGGTGGGTTGATTTCAAAATATTCTGATACAATGTTACCATACAAGCAAGCTAAATTATTTTGCAATATGGCAGATACAATGTAAATTTTCCCAATGGGATTATTTTAAGTTGTTGCTTAAAATCTACAAACTTAAAATACTTGGTTATTTCTCCAAATAACCATTCCACACTGACTCGTACACTGCTCATTGCCTTGTTATATTGCCTCATATCTTCTGTTAATGCGGCATTATTTCGGAATGGTTGCTGTAGGTGGACCGTCAATGGGTAGGCTGGGTCACCATATAGACATAATGGGGTGCCGTCTGGTGCAAATGCATGCTGCCTGAGGTCTTGCATCAAGCCTGACTCTCCAAGTATACGTGCATCATGCATTCTTCCCTCTAAAGCAAAGCAAAACAAAATATATAACTAAATGATTGAATTGAATGACTTTGTTCAAAATTTATATATTAACAATTTATAACAGAACACATCATTGTACTGATTATTGGCAATATAAATGTCAAAAAAGTGCTAACTCACCCCATGGTCCAGACAGGTTTGCTATCAGACCATTCGGAATACATATACTCTGAAATTTGATGGCATGTAGCCGCTTATGACCATTGTAAACAATTCTTTGATTAACACTGGGTCTACAAATTGGCCGAACTGTGCCATCGATGAAACCAAAGCATGTTAGAAGAGGGGAACCTTTGACATGAATTGCATTTGCATAGGATTCCAGATTCTCTGGAGATAGAAATGGTTGATTCCAGCTTTGTAATCTGAAACCATGGTTGTTGTAAATATGATTGATTGCATATTGAGTAATCTTGCATAGTTCAGGCACTGATCGGCCAAACATGGGAACCATATCACAGTATCGCACTGGGTAAGCAAATCTTT